TATAATATATATATATACTGGAATAAAATAGACCAACCTCCCACGACTTCACAATTTTCTTAAACCAGTCTCAGAGTAAAAGAGTAACTATTCTATTTTTTAGTATTTCACACCGCTTGGCTCCCCTCACTGGCGACCACCCACACAATTATACTATTATATTTTATTGATGAGAAAGAGACAGACAGACACAGGGCAGCAACGGAAAGACAGATACCGAGACAGACACAGAAAGAGAGACAAAGACCGAGAGACAAATTGAATAAACAGGCAGTCTAGATGGATTAATAGTTGGATGGTTAGAAAGATGAATAGATGAAGGGATATACAGATGGATGGATAGACAGATGGAAAGAGATTTGTGGAGAGGTGTATTTACAATGCGTGAAATCCTGATCAGGCTTCAGTGGAAGCCTCAGGACCCTCCTAGAGGTTTCAGTTCAACCTCAGGTTGCATTGCTTTTAACCATGTCGTGGTGTAGTGGTCTAGGGCGTGTCCTTGGGAGTACCAAGTGTGATGCTTGACTCCTCCTCGTGGCTCCTGCTGATTTCTAGTATATCTCCCCATCTCTCTCCTTTCCTGCAATGTGGTAAAGTCCAGTTTCCTTGGTCTTTCCTCATAGCTTAAACCCTTCAGTTCAGGAACGAGTATTGTTGCGTTTCTTTAGACTTTTTCTAGTTTCTCCTTGCCCTTTTTCAAGTAAGGGATCTACGCTGGGAACGCATATTTAGGTGTGGGTCTCAAATTCGCTCGATATAGGGTCCCAAAAAAGCCCCTTTGTCCAAATGATTTAAGAATACACGAATGTTGGCCAGTTAGCGATATGAAGCTCTTGTTATGCAGTTAGTGTGGGTGTTTGGCATTAGGTTTGGGGTTATGACCACTCCCAGCTCTTCCTCCTTTTCTGAGTGAAGAATTTACTTTCTCTTGTCTTCATCCTTTACTGTTGTACTTGTCTTCGCACTCATGTTCTCAATCCTCATAACTTTGCATTTGGCTGGGATAAACTCTAGCAGCAATTTTTCAGACCACTTCTGAAGTATATTCATATCCGTTTACAATGTCTCACAATCTGTCTCTGTCCTAACTCTTCTCATCAGTTTCGCATCTGGAAACATTGATATTAAGTTGCCAATCCTGTCTGATCGCGCGGGTGTGCGATCAGACAGGAAATTGCGGTTGTGTGTGTGTGTGTGTGTGTGTGTGTGTGTGTGTGTGTGTGTGTGTACTCACCTAGTTGTGCTTGCGGGGGTTGAGCTTTAACTTTTGTCCCGCCTCTCAACTGTCAATCAACTGGTGTACAGATTCTTGGGCCTACTGGGCTCTATCATATCTACACTTGAAGCTGTGTATGGAGTCAGCCTCCACCACATCACTGCCTAATGCATTCCACCTGTTAGCTACTCTGACACTGAAAAAGTTCTTTCTAACGTCCCTGTGGCTCATGTGGGTACTTAGTACCGATGAGTGAGAGAGAGAGAGGTGTGTGTGTGTGTGTGTGTGTGTGTGTGTGTGTGTGTGTGTGTGTGTGTGTGTGCGCGCGAGTGCGATTAACAGAGTTCGTTTGCGATATTTGTCACCATCTTACAGTGTACACGGCTTGCAACGACGGCATAGTGAGGGCCTTCAACGCTAAGAGTGGTTCACTGAAGCGTAAGTTCATCGGGCACGAGAGTGCGGTGACGTGCCTGGCGGTGTGTGTGAACCAGCAGGGGCAGGAGGTGTTCACGAGGCTCCTCACCGGCTCCAACGACAGCACCCTCAGGGTATGGAACGCCACGGGCATCAGGTACTTATATCGCCCTCACTTTCACACATTAATAATCAAATCACGATCTTTATTCGTAAAGACTTGTATATTTATAATTGAGTTAGTTTATATAAAATTACAGTACTGTACAATAATTACGTAAGAGAAAGTTACAGTAACTGCATAGTACGTACTCATCATTATGTGCTCTATAAATCTGATTTAGAATAATTATAATATATATATATATATATATATATATATATATATATATATATATATATATATATATATATATATATATATATATATATATATATATATATATTATAGTGATGCAGAAGTCTTAAGAGATGTCTGGAGTGAACAGGTGTTACAGCCATAGACAATTTCACCATTAGAGCTCTGACACTGATATTGACATAATATTGAGCATAAAATTAAGGCGACAAGAAGACAATTTGATGGAGAGTAACATATACTAATACCGTGTAGTTATATAAATTTGCACAACCTCTGCCTTTTACATCATAATAATTTAGGGACTAGACTGGAACATCGTTTATACTGCAAGGCTCATCCTGCAACATTGCTCTAACTTTATGCATTGTGAGAACGTCTTTGGAGCAGGACGGCAGGTTGGAGCCAGCATCTTAGGTCACCCTGGACATACACATTAGCCCAAGGACCGTGATATGCTCAACGTTAAGCAATCTGGCGTCCTACGGGACGTCAGGTTTCCACCGAGCTGGCAGCCAATCCATTTTTGTTTAACATAAAATCAGGTGTAGGCGGTGGAGTTCCCCCCTCAAATGGTCCCAGCAAATACATAATGAAAGTACATCAGCTTTATATATCTATGATAACATCTTTGGGACAGCGTGGCTGAAACCACTCTTGTTCCTAGTTCAAGAGAATGATCTACCCGACGGAGCGAATTCGTGCAAGTCAATGTTTGTACATGATGCAAGGCTGACGAGGAACGTGAAAACAAAGTGCAGGAAGGTAGAGGACCTTGACTAACTCCAGGAGTCGTCAAACAAATGGTTGCTGGAATTAAATCCCAACACGTCTAAGGTTATGAAGATGAGAAAGCGAGAAATTAGACCGAGGAAGCATCTACAAGAATGGGAAAGAGACAGATTTGGGAGTGGGTATAATTGTATCACTAACACCAGAGCTACACAGAACTAAGGTAACACTGGCAGCATATGGAAGCTGGGAAATATAAAATCATCGTTTAGAAACTAAAACCAGGATTCCTTTAAGGCAATTTACGCAACATTTGTTAGACCAATACTGGAATATGCAGCACCGGCATGGCTAATGGAACTAAATCTCCATCCCTTGAAGATAAAAAAAAGAACAGGAAATATGATCACAAAATACATGATACTGAGGGGAAGAACCAGACGGATAAGGACAGCCTCTTAACATTGAGAGACTATATGACGTGGAGACAGGAAAGGGCAGTGAGGTAAAGCAATGTAAGGAAAGACTTGTACTCCTGCACGGGTGGTCAACTTGTACCCCTGCACGGGTGGTACCCCTGCACGGGTGGTACCCCTGCACGGGTGGTACCCCTGCACGGGTGGTACCCCTGCACGGGTGGTCAACAAGTGGTATGCCTTGACGGAAGTTGTGGAAGTCATAGCCAGCCACAAAATTTGGGCAAATTCGACACAATTTGAACTGTGGAATACTTCAAATTTAAGGCAAGAGGTTCAACAAGGGCAGTCAGCGAGGCATAGAGAAGTAGACCACAGTCCCCGATGGACACTGTTACGGCCACTTAGGACCAGTAACCGGGTTCTTTGTTATAACCTTTTTTTAGTGTATTCGACCCATAGTCGGAAGTTGGCTTTCAAGAAATGGCGATATAGCGCAATAAAGAGTAAAGGGGGGGGGATACACTATTCTTTTCTATAATAATTACCTTTACCAATAAAAATATATTTACCGTCACCATTAAAATGTCTTCGATAAAATAGATTATGACTACACGTATATACAGTAATGGCACTTTCACTGAAGACACTACTACGTTGGCAGTGTTCACCAACTTCAGCGTTTCCGTCGCCCAGTACCTGGCGCACGTGTACTGACAAACGCTGGCGAGTTTGTCAGTACACGTTTTTTTACGTGGGCCAGTCCACCGACACAGTTTCACGAGGTGCCTACACCCCCACTATCGTTCTCCAGCTACTCACTGGCAGAGGACTTGAGCCACACGCTGATCGGGGTCACAAACAACCATATACAGGGGTAGCTAACCCCTGGCAGAAGCCTCTATCAACCGCCTAGCAGCACTTCACGATAGGCACCTCACTGTCACCCGTTACTCTCCTAAGCCAATCCCGGGGTATGCCCATCTCTACCAACACTTACGTAATTTAGCAGCTAACGCACTGCTCAGATCGACGGCGACTTAGTTTTCTTCCAGAAAAAAGCTGAGACTACGTGGACAGCCCAAGGTAAACTGCCTTCCTCAGTACAATCACCTCCACACGTCTTTTCTGTGGACAAAAATGTTATCAATTAAACGGAGGGTACACTGGGGGGAAGCCATGAGGTAACACTCACGTTGCAACCCGTTCTCGCACTTGCTCTTAGTCAATATTGGCTTATTTAATAAGTGCATTTGTGACATACTAATTGATTGTGAATATTTTAGTTTACCTTGAAAAGCTTCATAGAAAACATCGACCTCACCTAACCTTCTTAGTATGTTAAGATAAGCATCTTATTGCTTCTTATTTACAATTATTAATTAACCTATCAACGGTATAGGTTAAGTAATAATTGTAATTAAGAAGCAATAAGATGCTTATCTTAACATACTAAGAATGTTAGGTGAGGTCGGTGTTTTCTATGAAGCTTTTCAAGGTAAACTAAAATATTTACAATCAATTAGTATGTCACAAATGCACTTATTAAATAAGCCAATATTGACAGAAGCAAGTGCGAGAACGGGTTGCACTCATCGGGGGAGTTGACATTATACTCGTAGCACAAACTAGGTGGATTTGTTCATTTGATATATCACACTATTGTGATTTCTATGTGTACACTGAGAGGTGTATCCCGCTTCTTGGTGTATATGCACTGAGAGGTGTACCCCACTTCTTGGTGTATATACACTGAGAGGTGTACCCTGCTTCTTGGTGTATATACACTGAGAGGTGTATCCCGCTTCTTGGTGTATATACACTGAGAGGTGTACCCCACTTCTTGGTGTATATACACTGAGAGGTGTACCCTGCTTCTTGGTGTATATACACTGAGAGGTGTATCCCGCTTCTTGGTGTATATACACTGAGAGGTGTACCCTGCTTCTTGGTGTATATACACTGAGAGGTGTACCCTGCTTCTTGGTGTATATACACTGAGAGGTGTACCCTGCTTCTTGGTGTATATACACTGAGAGGTGTATCCCACTTCTTGGTGTATATACACTGAGAGGTGTACCCTGCTTCTTGGTGTATATACACTGAGAGGTGTATCCCACTTCTTGGTGTATATACACTGAGAGGTGTACCCTGCTTCTTGGTGTATATACACTGAGAGGTGTACCTTGCTTCTTGGTGTATATACACTGAGAGGTGTACCCTGCTTCTTGGTGTATATACACTGAGAGGTGTACCCTGCTTCTTGGTGTATATACACTGAGAGGTGTACCCAGCTTCTTGGTGTATATATACTGAGAGGTGTACCCTGCTTCTTGGTGTATATACACTGAGAGGTGTATTCCGCTTCTTGGTGTATATACACTGAGAGGTGTATCCCGCTTCTTGGTGTATATACACTGAGAGGTGTACCCCGCTTCTTGGTGTATATACACTGAGAGGTGTATCCAGCTTCTCAGTATATATACACTGAGAGGTGTACCCCGCTTCTCAGTGTATATACACTGAGAGGTGTATCCAGCTTCTCAGTGTATATACACTGAGAGTTCACCTAACCTTACGGTGGTCAAGGTCCCCGCGGCCTGGTCACGTGAACTTTAGCTCTAGAACTAAAATAAATCTGGCCTATTTGGCCAGTAAACACTTGTGGTAGCCATAACAGACTCTGATGACAATGATCTGCTTCCCTGCAGCGAGCAGCTGCCGTCAGTGGGCGAGGCTGAGGACCACGAGTACAGCTGGCAGCAGGACCAGCGGCTGGAGGAGCTCAACCGTCACCTAGACGGCTACCTGCCCGACGACCCGCTCTCCAAGTCCTCGGCTTCCTCCGTCGGCGCCGGCAGCAAGACGACCCTCGAAGCTGACACCTTAGGCATCATTGATGTTGACACCTAGAGCAAACGCTTTGGACCGTGGCGAAGGAACGTGTGACGGTGTACACCGCTAGAGGGAGAGGTTGTGACGGTGTACAACGCTAGAGGGAGAGGTTGTGACGGTGTACAACGCTAGAGGGAGAGGTTGTGACGGTGTACAACGCTAGAGGGAGAGGTTGTGACGGTGTACAACGCTAGAGGGAGAGGTTGTGACGGTGTACAACGCTAGAGGGAGAGGTTGTGACGGTGTACACCGCTAGAGGGAGAGGTTGTGACGGTGTACAACGCTAGAGGGAGAGGTTGTGACGGTGTACAACGCTAGAGGGAGAGGTTGTGACGGTGTACAACGCTAGAGGGAGAGGTTGTGACGGTGTACAACGCTAGAGGAAGAGGTTGTGACGGTGTACAACGCTAGAGGGAGAGGTTGTGACGGTACAATGCTAGAGGGAGAGATGAAGATGGTGTACAAGAACTCACAAGTCTCAGATCCGGGTATGCCGAAGGCAAACATTTGTTTTCCATGCTCAGGGATTCTGAAAAATATCAATGCATCTTAGAAGAAAGTAGACATAATTCTGTCTCTTAAGCCAAATAAATCTGGCAATTACAGACAAAATTAATAAACATCGTCCATTAGTAAAACTGGAGAACGGATGGTTTTAAATAAGCAATTGTGGAAGATTGGAGATCTACATAAGCACGTATTTGGCTTCACTAGAGGAGTAGGTATAGCAAAGGAACATTACTAGAAACAGTTAACTTAGGCTCGGCTATAGTGATCTTCGTTGATCTAGAAAAGGCATTTGAATTTGCAAGCAATTTAACACACCTTTATCCTTTATCCAAAAAAGATATTGTGACAACTGGTAGCCTGGATTTAAGATTACCTAAGTCACTGATGTGCCAAAGCAAAGCTGCAGGGCAAAGTATCAGTCTACCACCTGCATTACAATGGGACTCCACTAGGAGGAGTCTATACACAGGTGTAGGATACACACAGGTGTAGGATATACACACAGGAGCGGGATATATACAGGTGCGGGATATATACAAGTGTGGGATATACATTGAAATAACGTAATAATGCATCGTGTAATAACGCACCTTCTAATAACGTACCGTGTAATAATGCATTATGTTATAACGCATTGAGTAATAATGCACTGTGTAATAATGCATTGTGTAATAACACATCGTGTAATAACGCATCGTTTAATAACGCATCGTTTAATAACGCAGCACCGTGTAATAATGCATTATGTAATAACGCATTGTGTAATAATGCATCGTGGAATCCGTACGGTGTAATAACACATTGTGCAATCAGCTCATGATGTCTAGTAGTAAGAGAGGGAGAGGGACAGACAGACAGACACAGACAGACACAGACAGACACAGACAGAGACAGAGACAGACAGAGACAGACAGAGACAGACAGAGACAGACAGAGACAGACAGAGACAGACAGACAGAGACAGACAGACAGAGACAGACAGAGACAGACAGAGACAGAGACAGACAGAGACAGACAGACAGAGACAGACAGAGATCTGTTGTTGCCAGTGTACTATACTAGTAGAACAAGCCAGATCACACGAACATGGTGACCCTACCTGTGCCTGTTGTAACCACCACTGGTCACAACTAAACACATGACCACAAGGTTACCACGGAGCGGCTGAGAGGTAAAAGACTTCATGTTTCCACACGGGGTGGTCTCCGAAATTACGTTGCTTGGCCCACTTTTGTGTGTAGTAAAATCAAGGCAGGACGGCCAACTGTTCACAGCGGTCAACAAGTGAATAGTGCCGACAGCAACACCACAGAATCCAAAGTGAATTCTGCCACATTATAGGTCGCATGTAATTCTTAATATGAAGCAGGGAATTAGAGTTTCGGTTCACATCAATATATGTTTTTAATGTGGTGCTATTTTAATATGGTTCCCGTTTATGGGGACAACGGATTTATAGGTGAGGGGGAGGGGTTTCACTGATGCAACCATGTATATCTTACAACAACTAGTTTATTATACTTAAACGTATACATATACATAGTTGGCGGTAAATTGTTTTTAAGAAGCATTATAGGCAAATCTTCGTGCAGTATCCGTCTTTCAGCCGATACTCAGATCTCTGGTTTCAAGTTCAAGTAAGTTTATTGAGACAAGAAAAAAAGATACATCTCAAAGGAATAGAGTAGCTTAGGCTATCTCCGGCTTAACACTCAATATGATACGCTTCACAGATCATAGCTGCCAACACCACTGCCGTTATAGTTAAAGGACAATATCAGGATCTCACCACGATAAGCTGGACACATTAGCATGCACACGAAGTCTGACGTGTTATCAAATACATCACAGATACATGCTCGATCATGTGACCATCACTCGTAAGCTCTCACGGCCACACCAATGTGAGTTTCAGCTCTCCTCCAGTCTCAGCTGGATCACCCTATGGCACCACATACGTGAGACAATGTGTATGCAAAATTACAACGTACTTACATAAATCAGCTCTCACACATTCACATCCACGCTTCTTCGCCATCGTTTGGTGGGCGCACAGCTATGATCATCAGTCTCCACCGCTGTGGTCTCAGTACCACCGACGGGAGTCGAGTAATGGAGGAGCCAAGCTGAACTGTCCAGAGTCCTGTACTTTGGGACTGGTCAGCTCTTAAGAGCAGGAGGGTCCACCTCTGATCTGCGCCAAGTTTTCACCGAGAATGAACGATGGTGTGGTTACGCGGCTCAAATCTCGCAATTCATTAAAACTTACACAGATCACCAATCAGAATGCAGCTGTTACCTTAACCAGACATTCTGATTGGCTCAACCATAGGTCCGTCTGACGTCAACAGAGGTACATTGAGCGTAGCTAGCTCGACAGTTGAGGTCACTTCCCTGACCTGACTCCAGCCTTCTTGCCACTGAAGCTTGTTGCATCTTAAATGGTGATGCTTCATCAATCTCAACACATTGCGACGTGTAGCTCCCATCATCTTATGAAGCCAGACATTGTTTGCCTTCACTCATATTCCATCTAAATTGCAAATGAGATTACCTATCCAGGGACACCCAAGACAAGGTTACTCCAACCTGGAAGGGAAGGGAACTATTAGGGATCAAACAAGCCATTACGCCTATATAGCACTTGGAAGGGGTCAGGATAAGGATTTAGGATGGGACGGGTATCCGTGTATCCTTCAAAAATTTACACGCAAGTCCAGCTCAGACTCAGAACAACTTATTGTTCTGTTACATGTGTATTGTAACATTCATACAAGGGAAGGCGGAGAATTCGCATGATGTTTCATCATTTGTGCTGCTCTTGTAGTCATCACTGTCATCAATGTTTTGGCCTAATGAGATCATGTGACTCTGCATTTAATAAGCCTATCACAACTAACAGCTTCTGACTAACCATCACTGATATTTTTTGTCCTCAATAAATGCACTGAAAAATACGACACACATCTCGCTATATACATCCTGGAGTGTTGAATTGTATTATCGATTACTCAGTTAAGTGAATCGACTTGAGAATGGTCCAGGGCGGGCCGAAACGTCGTCGTCCCTTCACCTTCTAGTGTGTGGTCTAGTCAACATACTTTAGCCACGTTATTGTGACTCATCGCCTGCACCCAATTAAGTCATTTATAATGTTTCAACAAAATAACATGTTATCATATTTGTTCCATACAAGATGAATATTTGAAGCATAACTAGAGGGAATTATGGGCCATCTGAGGCTACCTTTGTCCTCTGGTGTTGACGCCGGGGATAACGATGAAAGCGCTCGGTCCAGTGTGGGATCATACTATCTTCCACTGAGACCAAAGTCAAGAATTGTCCATTCTTAACTTTGCCAAAAAGAAATGAAGAGATCTCTTGCATAAGTCTGCTCCCAGGAGCTGCAGCACAACCACAAGATCCAGGGCGCCCAAGCAACTCCTCAAGATACTGTGGAATAGTAAATATTTTCCTTCATATTTCCTGGAATGTGCACTTCATTATACTGTATATTTTTTCTACATAAATAATTATATATTTCTGGCTTTTTTTTATACCAATTCTTATATATATATATATATATATATATATATATATATATATATATATATATATATATATATATATATATATATATATATATGTATGTATATGTATATATATATATATATATATATATGTATATGTATATATATATATATATATATATATATATATATATATATATATATATATATATATACACACACATATATATACATATAGGAGAAGGAAAGATTAAGTGTTCAATGAGAATCCATAAGGTGTTCTCTGAATACTCTTTATTTTCTTCTTCAAAGCTCTGGGTCCCTAGAATTGCGCCAGAGGTAGTGCAGTTGTAGGCCACGATTCTGGCACGAATCCTCGACAATTTTTATGTTTTTCTTCACTGAAGCAGGTAAGTTGAAAAATTAACTCTCCAAAGTTAATTTTTACTTTTTATTGGGTCTGACGCCTAGTGATGCGTTTCGTGAGGTCACTCCTCACATTTTCAAAGACAAATTCTACCGTGTTGTTGTTGTTGTTTTTTTATTTAGGTACTCAGAACAAAATGTCTATGTAGCACGGGCTATAGTGAGGCCGTAAAAATGAGTTCACAAAAGAATCTTTCTTTAAAAAAGAAAGGATCACAAAAGGATCTTTCTTCAAAAGATAGATCGTCTCGCCGTTCACACAAAGAGACGATCACCAGGGATATTTTGACAAGTAACACCGAAATAATTAATAGATACGATGACAATAGAAGATTAGACATCAGTGAGGCCACGAAAATGGACCACGAAGAGCCATCACGTGGCTGTTCGTGGTCCAGTTTTATCCCCAAGATGTCCACTTCATCATCGAGTATTTATTTTGTCCACCTATATGTATGCCTGTCCCAGGTTCGATGTCGTGCAGTCTAGCTATGACTGTATAACTATAGTTATAACTGCCTGTGTTTTCTCTGCCACCTGTGTTCTGCCATCGTCAACCCCAGGAAGAAATCGCTGCAAGCTTAATGAGCCTCTATAGCAGTCAATTTCTTCACGGCAATATAAGTAAAGGCTCTTATGCGAGGCTTTATATAAGGTGCGGTCATTAGCATAGGCTGGAGCTGAAAATTCAGTAATTTGGCGCAGTAGATGACTGAAGTAGACATTCCACAACACGGGGCCAGGCACACGGGCGTCCGGTGACGCCAGGCTTGTAGATTCTTCTCCATTGAGGAACAGCAAAAGGGTTCTTGAAGGTAGTCGCTAAATAATTGTGAGGTGGATCACGAGATACTCATTGCTTGCATCTTTGCAAGCAATCCTAGGTGTCCTACTCTCTTGCTTTCACTAAGAAAACGCTCTCTTACGCTATCTCACATTATCATATTTTTTCTCATGCTCTCTTGCACAGTCTCTCGTTCTCTTAAGGTCTTTCGTACACTCTTTGACTCATGCTCTCTAGCTATATCTTTCTTTTTGCGGGTGACAAACATGGAGAGAGAGAAGGCAGTGCTTGGGGAGGGTGGACACGGAGTAGGGGGAGTGGGTGACCGTGGCGACAGGTGTCCGGGGGGCGGGGGGACCCGTTGCTGCCACGCACCTCCAGTGTCACTCAGGGCGCCCCTCCGCTACCACCTCCAGCCATGAAGCGGTCAGTACCTGTCACTTGCTATAGGCTACCTCGCCCCCAGACAGCGGCCAGTGTCTTCAGACGTGGTCACACTTAAGCGGAGATCATCTGTCTAGTTTTTTAACTCGCCCCGCGGAGTTACTTGTTCCTGTGTTCCTAAACCCGCCTTAAGGACGTACCCAGTTCCTGTGTTCCTAAACCCGCCTTAATGACGTACCCAGTTCCTGTGTTCCTAAACCCGCCTTAATGACGTACCCAGTTCCTGTGTTCCTAAACCCGCCTTAATGACGTACCCAGTTCCTGTGTTCCTAAACCCGCCTTAAGGACGTACCCAGTTCCTGTGTTCCTAAACCCGCCTTAATGACGTACCCAGTTCCTGTGTTCCTAAACCCCCCTTAAGGACGTACCCAGTTCCTGTGTTCCTAAACCCGCCTTAAGGACGTACCCAGTTCCTGTGTTCCTAAACCCGCCTTAATGACGTACCCAGTTCCTGTGTTCCTAAACTCGCCTTAATGACGTACCCAGTTCCTGTGTTCCTAAACCCGCCTTAAGGACGTACCCAGTTCCTGTGTTCCTAAACCCGCCTTAATGACGTACCCAGTTCCTGTGTTCCTAAACCCGCCTTAAGGACGTACCCAGTTCCTGTGTTCCTAAACCCGCCTTAATGACGTACCCAGTTCCTGTGATACCGCCTCCCTCCCTCTCCAATGCTCCCTCCCTGTTCCACGCTCCCTCCCTCCCTGTTCCACGCTCCATCCCTTCCTGTTCCCCGCTCCCTCCCCGCCTACTCCACGCTCCCTACCTTCCTGTTCCACGCTCTCTCATACAGTGGAGAGAGGTTTCCTTTCCCTTCCACACAGTGTATGCATCGCCTGTTTACTCCCCTTTACCTGCTGACATTCAAAACACTCCAAAATAACATCTCTCTGCTGACCAAAATCGTACTAGGAAAATGTGATTTTGCAATGTATTATTCAAGTCAGTGTGTGTTTACGTCCGGCGTGCGCTGGCTTGTGTTTGAGTCTTGGAACCTGACGACGAACGCTTCACGACAACCATTATTTGCATCCTGTAAGTCTGCCTAGGAGCAGTTTACGAAGCCAAATGTAATACCTAGTTTAGGCAGGCTTCAGACAGGAATTATATATATATTTTTTTTAATGTAGCATATTCCGTATGTGATCCGAATTACCTACGAAAAGAATAAACCTTACTGTGCAATGCATAAATCAATGGCCAGGTGTGTGTGTGTGTGTGTACTAACCTATTTGTACTCACCTATTTGTGCTTGCTGGGGTTGAGCTTTGGCTCTTTGGTCCCGCCTCTCAACCGTCAATCAACTGGTGTACAGATTCCTGGATAGAGCCTACTGGGCTCTATCATATCTACATTTAAAACTGTGTATGGAGTCAGCCTCCACCACATCACTGCTTAATGCATTCCATCTGTTAACTACTCTGACTCTGAAAAAAGTTCTTTCTAACGTCCCTGTGGCTCATGTGGGTACTCAGTTTCCACCTGTGTCCCCTTGTTCGCGTACCACCCGTGTTAAACAGTTTATCCTTATCTACCATGTCAATGCTTATCCTTATTTACCCTGTCAAGTCTTATCCTTATCTGCCCTGTTTATCCTCATATATCTTGCGTGCGTCGGCTTCAGGTAGGTTGCGTGCGGCATCTTCAGGTAGGTTGCGTGCGTCATCTTCAGGTAGGTTGCGTGCGTCAGCTTCAGGTAGGTTGCGTGCGGCATCTTCAGGTAGGTTGCGTGCGTCCGCTTCAGGTAGGTTGCGTGCGTCATCTTCAGGTAGGTTGCGTGCGTCAGCTTCAGGTAGGTTGCGTGCGTCATCTTCAAGTAGGTTGCGTGCGTCAGCTTCAGGTAGGTTGCGTGCGTCATCTTCAGGTAGGTTGCGTGCGTCAGCTTCAGGTAGGTTGCGTGCGTCAGCTTCAGGTAGGTTGCGTGCGTCAGCTTCAGGTAGGTTGCGTGCGGCATCTTCAGGTAGGTTGCGTGCGTCAGCTTCAGGTAGGTTGCGTGCGTCATCTTCAGGTAGGTTGCGTGCGTCAGCTTCAGGTAGGTTGCGTGCGTCAGCTTCAGGTAGGTTGCGTGCGGCATCTTCAGGTAGGTTGCGTGCGTCAGCTTCAGGTAGGTTGCGTGCGGCTTCTTCAAGTAGGTTGCGTGCGTCAGCTTCAGGTAGGTTGCGTGCGCCATCTTCAAGTAGGTTGCGTGCGTCATCTTCAGGTAGGTTGCGTGCGTCATCTTCAGGTAGGTTGCGTGCGTCATCTTCAGGTAGGTTGCGTGCGTCATCTTCAAGTAGGTTGCGTGCGTCATCTTCAGGTAGGTTGCGTGCGTCATCTTCAGGTAGGTTGCGTGCGTCATCTTCAGGTAGGTTGCGTGCGTCATCTTCAAGCAGGTTGCGTGCGTCATCTTCAGGTAGGTTGCGTGCGTCATCTTCAGGCAGGCTCCGCGCGGTGGCTGGCTGTGTTAGTGCGTGTGTGTGTGGCCACAACCCTACAGTAGACACCCACACCTGCTCCAGCAAGTATGTAGCGTGGGGGGCGAGCAGGAGGTGGCGCCACAGTCGGTCAGGGGCCGCCACAGGGTGTCTCAGGTAACGTGCTGCGGTCACCAGTTAAATTTGTCGCAGGTGCACCCAACCCCACCAGCTAATATTAACCTTAATTGTCAAAATGACACCAATTTCTGTGTAATATACGGGGGGGACATCAAGCTGCTGCTTGCCTTGCTTGGTTGTTTGCTTGCGTGACTGTCTGCCCTACTGGTGAACAGGTGGCCTAGTCAGCCAAGATGGAAGACAGCTCCTGGTCGCAGTAGCTAAAGATTTTCAGGGAGTCGCTCGCTAATGGTGTGTCCGGGCCCCAGTTGACCAGGGCGGGGAGACGTATTGCCCCGCTGGCTTACACTCTACACCAGGAACCTGGAGCTGTCTTGCTTCCTGGTACTTCTTGTCTCTCTCTCCCTCCCCCCGTGGTAAGCACACTGTCAGGGTTACCATAGCAGGTACCACAACAACATTGATCGCATCAATGACTACCATTTAAGTGTGGAGGACATCACACGGAGATTGTCTTGCCTCTCCTCACTGTTCTGTCCTTATTGCTTTCACTATACTCACTGTCTTCACTATACTCACTGTCTTCACTATACTCACTGTCCTCACTGTATTTACTGTCCTCACTGACTTCACTGCCCTCATAGTCTTTACTGTTCTAATTACTGTCCTCACTGTCTTTACTATCCTCACTGTCTTTACAGTTTTCACTGTCCTCGTTAGTCTTCTGTCTTTACTGTCCTCACTGTTGTCAGTGTCCTCATTGTCTTATTACCACCACTGCCATCATTATTAACACAGTCAATATTATCAACTCTGTCTTTATTATCAATAGTGTTCTCATTATCAACACTGTTTTCGTTACGAACCCTTCGTAACCGGGTTCTTTATAAACTCTATGATCCTACTCAAGTTCAGAGAAACCTAAACTTGGTGGGAATATAGTGTAATGTTTAAAAGGTAAATGAAAAGAATAACGCTTAAAATAACCCGTTATAATTTCCCATCACCATTATAATATATACAAGTCTCTGCGAGGTCAACAAGAGGGGCGTTGCTAGCCCTTACGCTCGCCTGCTTCACGGATGACGGACACAATATGCCTCTGATGCAACCCGTCCTCGACTCAAGTCCATTACATCCAGCGGTCGACCCCACAGACGCATTCATAAATTTTAACATGCTGTTCATTCAAAACGGGAATTTTCTCAAGTATAAATAAATATTATAATATATTAGCATATTGTGCATATATAGGCATAGGTTAGGTTAGGTTAGGTGTTTAGGTTCTGTTGGCGATTATTTGTATTTGTAGTACGTGGGTGAAGCATTTATAGCGTTGTGATTCGAACAAAATTCGTCAGTGAAGCACTTGTTCCGGATATGTTCGAACGTCAGCAGTTGTGAGTCGTGTGTAAACCGCTTTTCATTCATAAACAGGGGGTTTGGCGGGTGCATGGAATCACTTTTGGATCTTTGTTTGGAGGACGGGCTGTCTGATGAGGTCTTTGATGCTCCACGTCCGTTACACACTCGCTGGGACGCTCAATCAGCAAAGTCAGCTAAGCTCAACTAGCCCCACTGGCTAGGACCTTCCAGAACCAGAATCTACACCGCCCAGCCATAGCGCTCACCTAGCCTCACTGGCTAGCACCTCCAGGAGTGAAGTCTACAGTACTCAACAGCAGCGCTCAACTAGCCCACTTGGCTAGCATCTTCAGGTTGACCCAAGTCTTCCACTGTCCCGACTTCACAGACTTCCATCCCTCGTCGGTGTTACTCGCCATCTTTCAGCCCAGCCGACTAAAAGATGGGAAACTATGATTAATGGGAGGGCCAATTGCTGTAGTTCGACACCTGGATCATAGATGGCGCCAAGGTCCGTGACAGTCTTCATTATCAATACTGTCTTATTGTCAACGCTGTCTTCATTATCAACACTGTCCTCATTATCAACATTTTCTTCATTATTACAAGTGTTCTCATTGTCAACACTGTCCTCATTATCAACATTATGGCGCCCCCTGGCTGTCTGGATTCGAATCCTTTTGATGGGAGGAATTTTCTGTTGCATATTGGCTTTGAGACCATTCAAGCAAGCTTCTTCGCACAAATGTTATTCACGAGACTCCTGCATGTGAGGTGATTTGATAGAATATTTGTGCCCAGAAAGGTCACCGAGTGCTGTTGGGAATTGGGTTAAGGGTCTTACGACTACCAATTCCTTTTAAGTCGTTGTGGCCAAGTGGTGAAAGTACTGGACACGCTAAGGTGCATGGAGCCCCTAGCTGTCTGGGTTCGAATCCTTCTGGGGCGAGTAGTTTTTTGTTATATATATATATATATATATATATATATATATATATATATATATATATATATATATATATATATATATATATATATATATATATATATATGTCGTACCTAATAGCCAGAACGCACTTCTCTGCCTACTATGCAAGGCCCGATTTGCCTAATAAGCCAAGTTTTCATGAATTAATTGTTTTTCGAATACCTAACCTACCTAACCAAACCTAACCTAACTTTTTCGGCTACCTAACCTAACCTAACCTAAAAAGATAGGTTAGGTTAGGTTAGGTAGGGTTGGTTAGGTTTGGTCATATATCTACGTTAATTTTAACTCCAATAAAAAAATATTGACCTCATACATAATGAAATGGGTAGCTTAATCATCTCATAAGAAAAAAAATTGAGAAAATATAATAATTCAGGAAAACTTGGCTTATTAGGCAAATCGGGCCTTGCATAGTAGGCCGAGAAGTGCGTTCTGGCTACTAGGTACGACATATATATATATATATATATATATATATATATATATATATATATATATATATATATATATATATATATATATATATATATATATATATAATATATATTTGTAGAAAAGTTAGTGATATAGAATACTGTACGTACTCATTAATAATATACATGCGGGGCGGCGAGCATGCGCCGTGCTGGTGTTGCTGGTGTCTCCGGGTGTGTTTGTGATGGCGTTACTTGGCGACCAAGTAACTCCTGGCCCTCAACACGCTCCCTGGAGAACGATCTTAACTTCTAATTAAGGTAAGCTAATTTCCTGAGCAGAATAATATATCAGGTTTCCTCGTATTATGCCTCAACTGCGTTATAAATAGCCACACACACACACACACACACACACACACACACACACACACACACACACACACACACACACACACACACATATATATATATATATATATATATATATATATATATATATATATATATATATATATATATATATATATATATATAATATAGAACTGAAAACTCCACACGTCAGAAGTGACTCGAACCCATACTGCCAGGAGCACTATGCAACTGGTGTACAGGAGACCTTAACCACTCGACCATCTGTGACCGTACAAAAGATGATGGTAGCCGAGGCTATTCCACAATTGCAACACATTAGGCTCTGCACTTGGTAATGTTTTTCTGGGTTTTCACGTGAAAATTTGGCTTGATAAATGTCCTTTGGACTTTAAACCAGTCATGTACAGGAGCTATGTGGATAACACTTTTTTGTTATTCAAGGACCGATCTCATGTTGAGAAATTTAGAGAGTATCTTAATACACAACATTGTAATATACGTTTCACTGCAGAATGTGAAAAAGATAATTCGTTGTCGTTTTTTGATGTCAAGGTAAATAATCTTAATGGTTTTAACACGAATGTATGTAGAAAACCTACTTTTACTGGGTTAGGTTTAAATTTTAATTCTTTTCTTCCCGATATTTTTAGGAAAAATGCACTTAATACTCTATTGAATAGAGCCTTTGTTTTATGTTCAAACTGGTCTAAGTTTGATAAAGAAATTAATTTCCTTGTGAATTCTTTTCTAACAATGGGTACCCTGTTCACATGATTTATACATTTGTAAGGAACTTCTTAAATAAGAAATTCCACTCTTCTTGTAGAATTACTACAGAAGAAAGAGATATTAAATATATCAAATTGTCCTTTTATAGCACCATTAGTTTTTTTGTAAGAAGTCGATTGTGGAAACTTTTACAGCACTGTTATCCTCTGGTGGACTTTAGATTTATTTTTGTTAATACAAATACTATAGGCTCCTATTTTAAATTTAAAGACAGAGTGCCTACTCCCCTTTGCTCTAGTATCGTATATATGCTTAATTGTTCCAGCTGTAATGCTGGATACATCGGGATTTCCATTCGGAACTTTAAGATTAGGATACATGAGCGTCGAGGCGTATCATTTAGGACTGGATTACCATTATCCAAACCAGCATTTTCGGAAATTAGAAATCATTGTGATGAGTTGAATCATTTTCTGCTGGAATCCGATTTTAAATACTTGCATAAATAGTCAGTCAGATTTGAGAAAAATGGAATCCTTGTATATCAAGGAGCTGCGGCCCTTGCTAAATAATAATCTTTCAGCTGTTCAATTGTACACTGTATAACGCACAGCAGGTCTTGTACTTTGATTTATAGTTTATTCTGATGGATTTTATTTGCTTAAGTCTCCCTGGGTTTGTCTCCTTTTTCATTTATTTCATGTGTCGATATTTTACACTGTTATAGTTGTTTAATTAAGACATCTAATACATTTTTTAGTATTTAATTTGATTTGTTTTATATGTTTCTATTAGGATTATATCAGGTTTCTATGATTGTTTCAGGAATGTTTTATTTTTTTATATAATGTTTCTGTAAGTGCTTATTTATTATCATTGTTGTATTAGTTTTTATTAAGCAGAAGATAATTATTAAGGATTACTCTACTTGTTCATTACACGTAAGTTCAATAGTGTTTGTTTCTATTAGTTACTTAATTATTATAATCTTTGAACTAGTTTCTATTTTTCTGTGTTTAGTATAAAGTTTAGTTCGTTTGAACACTTCAGGTGAACTTAAGTGTGTTTCGTTTTATAATCAGTGTTGTTTGATATATATATTTTTGTTCCATAAATATATATATATATATATATATATATATATATATATATATATATATATATATATATATATATATATATATATATATATATATATATATAATTTTTTTTTGTACCACCTCTGGTGCAAGTGTAGGGACCCAGAGCCTCGGAGAAGAAAATAATGAATACTCAGAGAAGACCTTGTGGATCCTCACTGAACACTTTGATATTTTCTTCCCCTACCGCCCCTATTCTTTTAGTGTGTGTGTATATATATCTAACTTTATTTAAAATTTCATTACACAAAAAGTGTTACAACATTGGTTGCATGCAATATATGACCGAAAAGGTAAGATTAGTAATTCTAACACGAATCTTCTCAATATTTCTTACGTTTTTCTTCAGTCGAGGGTAATTGAAAAATTAACTCTCCAAAATTCATTCTTTATTTTTGGTCTGACGCCTGAACGCGTTTTGTAATGCTTCTTACATTTTCAAAGATTAGCTTACACATAGCATACATAATACTTATATACTCGTTTTGGGTGACGTGACAGAACTATGCCAGAACACGAAACAATGGGTATGAAAACATAAGAATGGAAGTAACTGCAGATGGCCTTTGGCCCAAACTTTCTCATGCTGCTTCTCTGTTGGTTCGGAGTCTTAAAGTGGGTACAATATAGTTGTGCATTAATTACTTCCTTTGCCCTTTTTCACCAACTTCGAGGTCGTCCACGGAACTCTCAATTCCTGCGACGGCGCTGGAACCAATCGTATTGGCGTATGCTTTTCCATTGGAGACTTTCAGCGCCGAGGAGAGGGAGGACTTGCTGCCTGGGTAACAGCTTCTCCCCCGAATCAACCTACCCTGGCTTTGCGCCCTTGTGAGGCCACTCCAGACCAGGCCGACACCAGAGCGCAACTCCATAGTCTCCTGAGACTGATGGATGCCTACTAGTTAATTGGCTGTTGATTGCTGGTGTTAACTATTTGATGTGTAGTGCTCTGCTGATGTCGAGTCTGCTGCTATCGCTGTATTTATCGATGACTTCTGTGTTGCTTGTTAAGATTTCTCTGGTGATGGTCTGGTTGTGAGAAGAGATTATATGTTGCTTGATGGAGCCCTGTTGTTTGTGCGTTGTTAATCGCCTAGAAAGAGACATTGTTGTTTTGCCTATATATGGGTTCTTTGGGGCTTACAGTCCCCAAGTGGGCATGTGAAGGCATAGACGACGTTGGTTTCTTTCAAGGCGTTCTGCTTGACGTCTGGGGAGTTCTTCATGAGCAGGTTGGCCGTTTTTCTGTTTTTGTAGTAAACTGTCAATTGTATTTTCTGATTTTTGTCTGTAGGGATAACGTTCCTATTAATAATGTCTTTCAGGACACTTTCCTCCGTTTTATGAGCAGTTGAAAAGAATTTCCCGTAAAACAGTCTAATAGGAGGTACAAGTGTTGGGCTAGTTGACTGAAGACTAGGCACACATCATGAACACTATATAACGCCTGGACCTCTCGCGACAAGATCGTCGTGATGGTCAAATAGAAAGTAGGATTTGAAATTATTTTATATAATCCTGAAAAATAAAGATAAAACAAACCAATATTTCCTAGGCCTAGTATAGTTCATATGTACTATATTAGGCCTTAGATAGCGTGTATTAGGCCTTGGATGGTTATGTTAAGTTAGGTTTCATTAGCAACATATACAACGTTTCCGGTTTGTCCAAATTTAAGTAGTCTTAATTGTGTAGTAGTAGTCTTAATTGTGTAGTAGTAGTCTTAATTGTGTAGTAGTAGTCTTAATTGCGTAGTAGTAGTAGTTTTAATAATGAAAGTTAGGTGAAAGTTGTTAGGTGACAGTGTTTCCGTCTTTTTCAGGATGAGGTGAGCACAGTACAGGCAGCGAGATGGGAAGCGGCAGTAGCAAGAGAAAGGAGAAGGGCCACCTGCTGGAGGCGCTACAGGAGCACAGAGACAGCATCACGTGTCTGGTGTTGTCGGAGGACGGCTCCCTCATGGTCACGGGGTCCTACGACACCACCGCCTGCATGTGGAGCACCCTAGGGGACTACACCGAGTGTCTCGGCGTCCTCACGTATGTTGCTGCTCGCACACTGTGTGGTCCTGGCCACTACTCACACAGTGTGGGGCTCCTGGCCACTACTCACACAGTGTGGGGCTCCTGGCCACTACTCACACAGTGTGGGGCTCCTGGCCACTAACATTAACTCTAGGGCCAAAATGTTAACCTTGCACCCTAACCGAGGGCTACAATATTAACCCTACATACTAATCCCACGCACACCTTTTAACCGTACACACTAACACCAGAGACCAAAATGTTAACCTTGCACATTAACTCCAGGGGTCACAATGTTACCCTCCGGTATACTCCCCCAGGGATCACAATGTTACCCTCCGGTATACTCCCCCAGGGATCACAATGTTACCCTCCGGTATACTCCCCCAGGGGTCACAATGTTACCCCTGTGGTATACTCCCCCAGGGGTCACAATGTTACCCCTGTGGTATACTCCCCCAGGGGTCACAATGTTACCACTGTGGTATACTCCCCCAGGGGCCACAATGTTACCCCCACTGTGGTATACTCCCCCAGGGGCCACAATGTTACCCTCCGGTATACTCCCCCAGGGGCCACAATGTTACCCCTGTGGTATACTCCCCCAGGGGTCACAATGTTACCCTCCGGTATACTCCCCCAGGGGCCACAATGTTACCCTCCGGTATACTCCCCCAGGGGCCACAATGTTACCCCCACTGTGGTATACTCCCCAGGGGTCACAATGTTACCCTCCGGTATACTCCCCCAGGGGCCACAATGTTACTCCTGTGGTATACTCCCCCAGGGGCCACAATGTTACCCCTGTGGTATACTCCCCCAGGGGCCACAATGTTACCCTCCGGTATACTCCCCCAGGGGCGACAATGTTACCCCCACTGTGGTATACTCCCCCAGGGGCCACAATGTTACCCCCACTGTGCTATACTCCCCCAGGGGCCACAATGTTACCCCCACTGTGGTATACTCCCCCAGGGGCCACACGGGGAGGATCATGTGCGCCGCCACCAGCAGGACCTTCGTGTTCACCGGGTCAGAGGACGCCACCGTCCGCAAGTGGGACATGTGCTCCATGGAGTGTATCTTCACCTACGTTGGTGAGTCTCGTGTGCTGGTGAAGCACTTTACCTTGGTACTGGGGAAGACAGTAGGTACTGGGGAAGACAGTAGGTACTGGGGAACACAGTAGGTACTGGTGAAGACAGTAGGTACTGGGGAAGACAGTAGGTACTGGGGAAGACAGTAGGTACTGGGGAAGACAGTAGGTACTGGGGAAGACAGTGGGTACTGGGGAAGACAGTAGGTACTGGTGAAGACAGTAGGTGCTGGTAAAGACAGTAGGTACTGGTGAAGACAGTGGGTACTGGGGAAGACAGTAGGTACTGGGGAAGACAGTAGGTACTGGGGAAGACAGTAGGTACTGGGGAAGACAGTAGGTACTGGTGAAGACAGTAGGTACTGGTGAAGACAGTAGGTACTGGGGAAGACAGTAGGTACTGGTGAAGACAGTAGGTACTGGTGAAGACAGTAGGTACTGGGGAAGACAGTAGGTACTGGTGAAGACAGTAGGTACTGGGGAAGACAGTAGGTACTGGGGAAGACAGTAGGTACTGGGGAAGACAGTAGGTACTGGGGAAGACAGTAGGTACTGGGGAAGACAGTAGGTACTGGGGAAGACAGTACTGGGGAAGACAGTAGGTACTGGGGGGAAGACAGTAGGTACTGGGGAAGACAGTAGGTACTGGGGAAGACAGTAGGGTACTGGGGAAGACAGTAGGTACTGGGGAAGACAGTAGGTACTGGTAGGTACTGGGGAAGACAGTAGGTACTGGGGAAGACAGTAGGTACTGGGGAAGACAGTAGGTACTGGGGAAGACAGTAGGTACTGGGGAAGACAGTAGGTACTGGGGAAGACAGTAGGTACTGGGGAAGACAGTAGGTACTGGGGAAGACAGTAGGTACTGGGGAAGACAGTAGGTACTGGGGAAGACAGTAGGTACTGGGGAAGACAGTAGGTACTGGGGAAGACAGTAGGTACTGGGGAAGACAGTAGGTACTGGGGAAGACAGTAGGTACTGGTGAAGACAGTAGGTACTGGTGAAGACAGTGGGTACTGGGGAAGACAGTAGGTACTGGGGAAGACAGTAGGTACTGGGGAAGACAGTAGGTACTGGGGAAGACAGTAGGTACTGGGGAAGACAGTAGGTACTGGTGAAGACAGTACTGGTGAAGACAGTGGGTACTGGGGAAGACAGTGGGTACTGGTGAAGACAGTAGGTACTGGGGAAGACAGTAGGTACTGGTGAAGACAGTAGGTACTGGGGAAGACAGTAGGTACTGGGGAAGACAGTAGGTACTGGGGAAGACAGTGGGTACTGGTGAAGACAGTAGGTACTGGGGAAGACAGTAGGTACTGGGGAAGACAGTGGGTACTGGGGAAGACAGTAGATACTGGTGAAGACAGTAGGTACTGGGGAAGACAGTAGGTACTGGGGAAGACAGTAGGTACTGGGGAAGACAGTGGGTACTGGTGAAGACAGTAGGTACTGGGGAAGACAGTAGGTACTGGGGAAGACAGTAGGTACTGGGGAAGACAGTGGGTACTGGGGAAGACAGTAGGTACTGGGGAAGACAGTAGGTACTGGGGAAGACAGTGGGTACTGGTGAAGACAGTAGGTACTGGGGAAGACAGTAGGTACTGGGGAAGACAGTAGGTACTGGGGAAGACAGTGGGTACTGGGGAAGACAGTAGGTACTGGGGAAGACAGTACTGGTGAAGACAGTAGGTACTGGTGGGGAAGACAGTAGGTACTGGGGAAGACAGTAGAAGACAGTAGGTACTGGGAAGACAGTAGGTACTGGGGAGACAGTAGGTACTGGGGAAGACAGTGGGGGGAAGACAGTGGTGAAGACAGTGGGTGCTAGGGAAGACAGTAGGTGCTGAGGAAGACAGTGGGTACTGGTGAAGACAGTAGGTACTGGGGAAGACAGTAGGTACTGGGGAAGACAGTGGGTGCTGGTGAAGACAGTGGGCGCTGGGGAAGACAGTGGGTACTGGGGAAGACAGTGGGTACTGGTGAAGACAGTAGGTACTGGGGAAGACAGTGGGTACTGGTGAAGACAGTGGGTGCTGGGGAAGACAGTGGGTACTGGGGAAGACAGTGGGTGCTGAGGAAGACAGTGGGTACTGGTGAAGACAGTAGGTGCTGAGGAAGACAGTGGGTACTGGTGAAGACAGTGGGTGCTGGGGAAGACAGTAGGTACTGGTGAAGACAGTAGGTACTGGTGAAGACAGTAGGTACTGGGGAAGACAGTAGGTGCTGAGGAAGACAGTGGGTACTGGTGAAGACAGTAGGTGCTGAGGAAGACAATGGGTGCTGGTGAAGACAGTAGGTACTGAGGAAGACAGTGGGTACTGGTGAAGACTGTAGGTGCTGAGGAAGACAGTGGGTACTGGTGAAGACAGTAGGTGCTGAGGAAGACAGTGGGTACTGGTGAAGACAGTAGGTGCTGAGGAAGACAGTGGGTACTGGTGAAGACAGTAGGTGCTGAGGAAGACAGTGGGTACTGGGGAAGACAGTGGGTACCGGTGAAGACAGTGGGTGCTGGTGAAGACAGTGTACACCTCCTCCCACAGGTCACATGCAGCAGGTGCACCGAATCATCTGTGCTGGTGACTTCCTCTTCAGCACCTCCTACGACAAGACGGCCAAGGTGTGGTTCCTGGCCGCCGACAGCAACTGTTCCCAAGAAGAGGCCTGCATCCGCACCTTTGAGGTGAGACACGACACCCTCCGCCCCACCTCCCGGACCTACCACCAGCTTCCTGGTCTCGCTCATCACACCCTAGGGCCCCATTCCTTCTGTAGTTCCCCACTCCCACTTCCCTCACCACTCCCAGCACCTCTTCTTTCACCACTCCCCACTCCCTAGGACCCTCTTCCACCTCTCATCATCCTCTTCCCATGCTCGCTCCCGCACTCCCCCAGCAGCAGATGGATGTGTGGGCTGCTTGTTTGTGGTATGCGGTTCGAAGCTCCGATGGTCCAAGTGAATAAAGTCTATGCAATAATAGAATGTCAGTCTGTCTGTACATTTGCATGTGCATGTGGTCAAAGTCGTGAGCCACATTTAGACTCCCACCATACATCAGGACGATGTTAAGAACTGCTCGCCAGCTGCACAGTTAAATATTTTAAAAATAAAATTTTCAAATTTATATTTTTTGCTTACGGTAATATGTTCCATTATTCACTGATATCGGGAAAATTAACAAAAGTTTACTGCTGTTGATAATTTGCCTGTACTATCAGATAATAAACTATTCTTCCACAGTTTCAAATGTTTTTCAAGCCACAGTTCTGCATCAGAGTAAGGGGTAACTATTAATTGTTTAGTATTTCTCGTCTCTGAGCTCCTCTCCCTGGCGACCACCAGTACATCAGACAATTACATCTATACTATATGAGCGAATATCTCTTGTCTGTCTGTCTAAGCCAATGCCAAAATGTCTGGACTTCACCTGCTGATTGTTACTGGAGAGTACAAACCTGGATATATATATGGGGCTGTCAAGACCCACAACCTGAAAACCCACTTCGATCATTTAACCTGTCCTCCTACAACGTCGCTTTTCGCTCGTATGCATTACTAAGGCCTAAAATTGTCGTACTAGAAAATGAAAGCGGCTCGCGAAAGTGACGTACTGTCCCGTTTTCTGTTTTGGGTCCTCTGGCTTGGTCTGGTAGGTTTGGAGAGGACACTTTAAATTTTCCGTTTTATTGACGTTATGAAACCTTAGGAGAGCGGGCTGCATCATCAGCCACATACCTATACGCCCAAGTACAGACTGGCTAAGTGACTCAACTCGTTATCAACTCCAAACATTCCACAAGCCTTAAGGCTCCAAAGGAGTTTGTTGACTTACTGCAAGGAGTCGCAGGCATCAGGAGTAAGAGCGGCTCTTAATGTAGAGTCGTTGTTGACCAATGTGCTCGTGGATGAGATAATTACAATGATGATAGACATATTTTATGGATATCCAATCAAACCAATCATCTCATCTCAAGATATCCAGCTTGTACGCCCCTTGACATCCCAGAAGGCACACTCGGGAAGCTACTAGAAGCATGTACCTAGAGGCACCCTCCCTGAGCCCTGATGGGTGCATGTATAAACAAGTAATCGGCGTTGCTATCGGGGGCCCCCCTCGGAGGGGGTGGGGGTCCCCCCCTTGGTGTCGTATTTGCTAATTTTTACATTGGTATCGTCGAACATAACTTGTGTATACTGTAGATATGTAGACGATACATTCCTTCAGCACTACCTGATATTGAACACTTGCTGCTGCTTAAGGATGCATTCGAACAAAGTTCAGTGCTAAAGATCACTTACGAGATTGAGAGTGGAGGAAGACTACCTTTCCTAGATGTAATGGTCTCGGAAAGGAATGCGGGCGTTAACACTGCAGTCTGCACTAAGGGAACTAACTTGGGAATGTACCGTAATGCTGAGAGTGAGAGCCCTGATAGATACAAGCAGAGTGTAGTCAATGTTTGTCACCCGCGCCATCTCATACAGCTCCAGAAGAAGCAGGCTGACGAGGAACTCAGTAGAGTAAGGCAGGTCCTGATCAATAATGGATACTCTAATGGATGCCTCGATATACTTATCAACATGAAGGGGAGCTGCCATGTGACTTCAGATACAACAGACAACAGCACATCATCAGCCACCGCTATTAAAACACTCTACAGGAACTTCACGGCCCACAAGACAAAAGAGAGGGTCCTGGAAAACATTGATAGACATGTGACCCCTACTGACACCAACCTGAAGATTAAACTAATAATATACTATAAGAGCTAGAAGACTGCCAACTTTATCGTGAAGAACTCTCCTGACACGAAACAAACCCCATGAAAGAAAAAAATGTTGCCTATGCCTTCACATGCCCACTTGGGGACTGTCATTCCCAACGAATTTAATATGATAACAGCTTCCCTTTCAAGGCGCCTAACAATACACATGCAGCAAGGACCTATAAGAGAACATATAATATCTATAATTAACCAGACCATCACCAGAGATATACTCACAAACAACACCAATATAATCGACAGATACAGCGACATCAAAAGACCGGACATCGGCGAGGTATTACACATCAAGCAAACCAAGCCACGCTTCAGTAGCCAACTACACCACATTACATTCTGCCAACGTCCAGAACACGACGGAACACACAGCATACTGCACTAGCCATCATGTAAACACCAGAGTGACAAGATTCAATGGACCTGTAAGTGAAGTGCTTCTTCATCTCATCCCTGTCACCTAACTACCTTTACCTCATCACATTTACCTCATCATCTTCATCTCATCACATTCACCTCGTCGCCGTCACTTCATCCTGTGGTACATTTAATGCATCATGACAATTTGAAATCATTTCAACTCTGCCTTTGACAAGGTTAACAAGAATTAACGGAACGCCTCTTAGCGTTAAGCTAAATAAAATGATTTTGAAGAGTTAATTTTTCAACTTTCTTCTCAAGTGAAGAAAAATGTAAGGAAAATAGAGAAGACTCACGCTAGAATCATTGATCTCACCCTTTCTGTCACGTTCAATATATATGCCTACAGCAAAGACTGCTACCAAAATATACTAATATAAATATATTTAACAGTGAAATGACAATGACGTGATATATCAATATAAATCATTTTGAAGCAATGGAGTGACTCGGACTCGCGACCTGGTGATTACCCGACGCCTGCCTTAACCGCTCTGCCACGGTGGTACGGAAGTTGACTAAACAAGAACTCTACAGAGTTGGCTGGGAGGTTCTGGACCCCGAACCAGAGCCTCATGCATGCATTAAAATTATTTTTATTGACATATTTACATAACCTTCCCGGTTTGGTGCCTTCTTTTGATAATTACTTACTTACTTACTTTATTGACATATTTGTGATTCATTGCGATTTGACAATTGCAAAAATTGCAAATGCAGAATTGTGATTCATTGCAATCTGACTGGGGCATAAGATGCCCCAGTCATAAGACCCTTCTGAAGATGTATTATTAAATACGAAAGTACTTACGGAAATTCCCGTTTCACTTCTCCCTCCGTGGTCTGACACTGTCATATATATGACAGTGTCAGTATACATATATATATATATATATATATGAAAAATATGTGGGCAGGTGTTGAGAGACGGGTCTCCCACAGGGCCACAGCAAGGCCGTCTACCCCATCCTCTTCATCCCCGGGCAGGACACCGGCGGCCTCAACGAGGAAGGCCTCAATATCAACCCCGCTGACCTCGTCATCACCGGCAGCACTGACGCCACTGCTCGTTCCTGGTCCCTTGACCTCGGCGTCTGTATTAAGGTCAGGAGAACTCTGTCAAGGCCAGGAGGGCTCTGTGAGAGGTCAGGAAGGCTCTGTGTGGGGTCTGGGATCAGGAGGGCTCTGTGTGGGGTCAGGAGGGCTCTGTGTGGGGTCTGAGATCAGGAGGGCTCTGTGTGGGGTCTGAGATCAGGAGGGCTCTGTGTGGGGTCTGAGATCAGGAGGGCTCTGTGTGGGGTCTGAGATCAGGAGGGCTCTGTGAGGGTCATGTGTGCAGTGTGAGAGTTAGGAACAATTATGAGTGAGTTTGGAGGGCACTGTGAGAGCGGTGATGAGTCCAATGTCAGGGGTCTGGAGGGTAGAGTGAATCAGAAGAATAATATGAACGTCATGTGGTCAGTGTGGGTGGTTAGGAGGGCTGCAGTACGATGGTCAGGAGGGCAATATGAGGGGTCAGATAGACGTGTTTTTGTCAGCTGAAGTAAGATAGCAAGGGAATCAAAGGATCAGTAGCAAGTGATATGAATTACAGGTTCATACAGGCTAACGTACACTGGCCCTGCAGGTCCAGCTCACACTCACAACCTTCTCTCCCTCAGACCTTCAGTAAACACACTGGGCCCATATCGTGCATGGACACGGGCTCTCAAGGCAAGCTGCTCTACACCGGCAGTAACGACAGTACCATCAGGGTGTGGGACATCTCCAGCGGCAGGTGTCTCAAGGTAGGACTCTACAATGTGTGGGACATTAAGGTAGGACTGTACCATCAGTGTGGGACATTAAGGTAGGACTGTACCATCAGTGTGGGACATTAAGGTAGGACTGTACCATCAGTGTGGAACATTAAGGTAGGACTGTACCATCAGTGTGGAACATTAAGGTAGGACTGTACCATCAGTGTGGGACATTAAGGTAGGACTGTACCATCAGTGTGGGACATTAAGGTAGGACTGTACCATCAGTGTGGAACATTAAGGTAGGACTGTACCATCAGTGTGGAACATTAAGGTAGGACTGTACCATCAGTGTGGGACATTAAGGTAGGACTGTACCATCAGTGTGGAACATTAAGGTAGGACTGTACTATCAGTGTGGGACATTAAGGTAGGACTGTACCATCAGTGTGGAACATTAAGGTAGGACTGTACCATCAGTGTGGAACATTAAGGTAGGACTGTACCATCAGTCTGGGACATTAAGGTAGGACTGTACCATCAGTGTGGAACATTAAGGTAGGACTGTACTATCAGTGTGGGACATTAAGGTAGGACTGTACTATCAGTGTGGGACATTAAGGTAGGACTGTACCATCAGTCTGGGACATTAAGGTAGGACTGTACCATCAGTGTGGAACATTAAGGTAGGACTGTGCAAGTAGAAGAAATGACGACGGAACGGCGCCGTTTTAGATTTTAGCAAATTTGTCGTTTCAGGTCATCAAAATTATGGTGAAGGGATACTTAAAGGTTTAAGGCGCCGTTCTGTCGTCACCATTCAAAGGGTCCCTCTCAGGTCAGGTCAGAGTATTAGTTCTGCTCTCATAAAAATTTGCGTTAATCTAAATAAGGACAGAGTTGTAATTTTTGTGTCGTCTCATTTCAGGGTCTGTCTTGTGTCTGGCACTGTCGGACGTTAATTCTTGGGTCCGCCTCTAGATGTTATGTGTTATAATTTCGTTATTAATTGCTCAAATAAAATAAAATTTTAAACAATCTTATTTTGAACGAAGTATGAGGAAAGAAGCTAGTTCATGATCTCCGCTTCTAGCTTTAGGACCCAGTTCATCTTAGTATTTTCTAAGTAGTTACCTAGACAAACATACCCTGTGGATGAGTTAGGGTCAGTGGTAACTTAGACAAGTATAGCCTGAGGATAAGTTAGGGTCAGTTTCGACTTAAACTGTGTGCGAATCGCATAACTCTAATTGCTTTACTCACCGCAAATTCAAATCATTGCCATTAGAACTTAAACACTTTACATAACCTACCCTAGGCCTAACTTTAGACAAAATTATATTATACATTAATTCTAACTTATATTCAAGAAAAAATATCTTTTCAGGTCACACGATAAAAATATGTGTGTGGGGTGGGATTTTAATAACTTTGTAACAGAGGTGGCGGCGTTGCAGGTGCTGACGGAGCACAAGGACTCCGTGACGTGCCTGAAGGTGGTGAACCGGCTGCTGTACAGCGGGAGTCAGGACTCCAAGGTGAAGTGCTGGGTGCGGGAGGTGGGCGACTGCACCCGTACCTACAAGACCAACAGGAACCAGGGCAGCGTCACCTGCATCAAACTCCACAGAGGCATCCGTATGTCTTCCCACCCTTGTCGCCTCTACATTCATTATACATGCATTTATTTGGTTGAAATCAAATCGATACATAAGCATGTATAATTGAGTAAACTGAAATGACGTCAATATGCAATTGAACGCTTAAATTCCTAATGACTTTGCCGAGATGTATAATTTAACTTAAACCTGGATCCGATGAATTGCAATTAAATTACGTAAAAGTGATGCCAAGATACTAGTAATTCCGTTGGTTGCAGGAGGTGTTCTATCACTGTTTCTGTTCGCTGTCTCTTCCTCTGTAACCATCTCCTCCTCTCTTTCAATGTCTACCCAATCCCTATCTCTATGTATCTCCCCCTGTATACATGATATACATGTGACTGTAACCTTACACAGCACCATGGCTGGGGAGCAGAGGCAGGTCATAGAAACACACAGCATGTTGGGGAGACTGAAGGATAACACAGCATGTTGGGGAGACTGAAGGATGATAACACAGCATGTTGGGGAGACTGAAGGATGATAACACAGCATGTTGGGGAGACTGAAGGATGATAACACAGCATGTTGGGGAGACTGAAGGATGATAACACAGCATGTTGGGGAGACTGAAGGAGGATAACACAGCATGTTGGGGAGACTGAAGGATAACACAGCATGTTGGGGAGACTGAAGGATGATAACACAGCATGTTGGGGAGACTGAAGGATGATAACACAGCATGTTGGGGAGACTGAAGGATGATAACACAGCATGTTGGGGAGACTGAAGGAGGATAACACAGCATGTTGGGGAGACTGAAGGATGATAACACAGCATGTTGGGGAGACTGAAGGATGATAACACAGCATGTTGGGGAGACTGAAGGATGATAACACAGCATGTTGGGGAGACTGAAGGATGATAACACAGCATGTTGGGGAGACTGAAGGATGATAACACAGCATGTTGGGGAGACTGAAGGATGATAACACAGCATGTTGGGGAGACTGAAGGAGGATAACACAGCATGTTGGGGAGACTGAAGGATAACACAGCATGTTGGGGAGACTGAAGGATGATAACACAGCATGTTGGGGAGACTGAAGGATGATAACACAGCATGTTGGGGAGACTGAAGGAGGATAACACAGCATGTTGGGGAGACTGAAGGATAACACAGCATGTTGGGGAGACTGAAGGATGATAACACAGCATGTTGGGGAGACTGAAGGATGATAACACAGCATGTTGGGGAGACTGAAGGATGATAACACAGCATGTTGGGGAGACTGAAGGAGGATAACACAGCATGTTGGGGAGACTGAAGGATGATAACACAGCTTGTTGGGGAGACTGAAGGATAACACAGCATGTTGGGGAGACTGAAGGATGATAACACAGCATGTTGGGGAGACTGAAGGAGGATAACACAGCATGTTGGGGAGACTGAAGGATAACACAGCATGTTGGGGAGACTGAAGGATGATAACACAGCATGTTGGGGAGACTGAAGGATGATAACACAGCATGTTGGGGAGACTGAAGGATGATAACACAGCATGTTGGGGAGACTGAAGGAGGATAACACAGCATGTTGGGGAGACTGAAGGATGATAACACAGCATGTTGGGGAGACTGAAGGATGATAACACAGCATGTTGGGGAGACTGAAGGATGATAACACAGCATGTTGGGGAGACTGAAGGATGATAACACAGCATGTTGGGGAGACTGAAGGATGATAACACAGCATGTTGGGGAGACTGAAGGATGATAACACAGCATGTTGGGGAGACTGAAGGAGGATAACACAGCATGTTGGGGAGACTGAAGGATAACACAGCATGTTGGGGAGACTGAAGGATGATAACACAGCATGTTGGGGAGACTGAAGGATGATAACACAGCATGTTGGGGAGACTGAAGGAGGATAACACAGCATGTTGGGGAGACTGAAGGATAACACAGCATGTTGGGGAGACTGAAGGATGATAACACAGCATGTTGGGGAGACTGAAGGATGATAACACAGCATGTTGGGGAGACTGAAGGATGATAACACAGCATGTTGGGGAGACTGAAGGAGGATAACACAGCATGTTGGGGAGACTGAAGGATGATAACACAGCTTGTTGGGGAGACTGAAGGATAACACAGCATGTTGGGGAGACTGAAGGATGATAACACAGCATGTTGGGGAGACTGAAGGAGGATAACACAGCATGTTGGGGAGAGACTGAAGGATGATAACACAGCATGTTGGGGAGACTGAAGGATGATAACACAGCATGTTGGGGAGACTGAAGGATGATAACACAGCATGTTGGGGAGACTGAAGGATGATAACACAGCATGAGACTGAAGGATGATAACACAGCATGTTGGGGAGACTGAAGGATGATAACACAGCATGTTGGGGAGACTGAAGGATGATAACACAGCATGTTGGGGAGACTGAAGGATGATAACACAGCATGTTGGGGAGACTGAAGGATGATAACACAGCATGTTGGGGAGACTGAAGGATGATAACACAGCATGTTGGGGAGACTGAAGGATGATAACACAGCATGTTGGGGAGACTGAAGGATAACACAGCATGTTGGGGAGACTGAAGGATGATAACACAGCATGTTGGGGAGACTGAAGGATGATAACACAGCATGTTGGGGAGACTGAAGGATGATAACACAGCATGTTGGGGAGACTGAAGGATGATAACACAGCATGTTGGGGAGACTGAAGGATGATAACACAGCATGTTGGGGAGACTGAAGGATGATAACACAGCATGTTGGGGAGACTGAAGGATGATAACACAGCATGTTGGGGAGACTGAAGGATAATAACACAGCATGTTGGGGAGACTGAAGGATGATAACACAGCATGTTGGGGAGACTGAAGGATGATAACACAGCTTGTTGGGGAGACTGAAGGATGACACAGCATGTTGGGGAGACTGAAGGATGATAACACAGCATGTTGGGGAGACTGAAGGATGATAACACAGCATGTTGGGGAGACTGAAGGATGATAACACAGCATGTTGGGGAGACTGAAGGATGATAACACAGCATGTTGGGGAGACTGAAGGATGATAACACAGCATGTTGGGGAGACTGAAGGATAACACAGCATGTTGGGGAGACTGAAGGATAACACAGCATGTTGGGGAGACTGAAGGATAACACAGCATGTTGGGGAGACTGAAGGATGATAACACAGCATGTTGGGGAGACTGAAGGATGATAACACAGCATGTTGGGGAGACTGAAGGATGATAACACAGCATGTTGGGGAGACTGAAGGATGATAACACAGCATGTTGGGGAGACTGAAGGATGATAACACAGCATGTTGGGGAGACTGAAGGATGATAACACAGCATGTTGGGGAGACTGAAGGATAACACAGCATGTTGGGGAGACTGAAGGATAATAACACAGCATGTTGGGGAGACTGAAGGATGATAACACAGCTTGTTGGGGAGACTGAAGGATGATAACACAGCTTGTTGGGGAGACTGAAGGATAACACAGCATGTTGGGGAGACTGAAGGATGATAACACAGCATGTTGGGGAGACTGAAGGATGATAACACAGCATGTTGATGACTGGCTATTTTAGTCTATTCAGAGACCTGCTGAACAATATTTTATTTACAATCGAAGATGGCGGAGGCCACATGGAGAATGACATGGAAGCGTGCAAAGAATTTCCAGGAAATCTTTAAGCTGGAATCTGATCTGCTTCTGAAGCTATGACCCCTCGTAGAATGGACATTCCCACTTGAATAATTCACTGAAATCCTAGTGAGACGAGAAAAAGTAAGGAAGCAACTACAGGAATTGAATGCGATAAAAGCTATTGTACCAAGTATGATTGTATATTTATATACCACGACCTTGTATATTAAAAGAGGCACCGGAAGCACTGCATAGTTCCTTTGTTATATATTATATAATCCCACTCAAAGAAAAGGAGAGGTTCTAGACACTTGTAAAATAGCTAATATGCAAGAAAGGCTGGCGACTAAAAACCACTAAACAAGGATCTCGGAGAGAAACAAGGAATAAGGGAAAGAGACTTCTGGAACATGCTGGCACAACAAAATAGACAAGCTAAATTTCGTCTTCAAACAGGAGAGAGGGAAGAGCATATCGTTTATTCCTCGACTGAAGAAAGTATTTGATCCTTGGGTAAATACTGGTTCAGTAACAGGGTTGTTGATTTGTGGAACCAATTGCCGCGTAACATTGTGGAGGTGGGGTCCCTCGATTGTTTCAAGCACGGGTTGGACAAGTATATGAGTGGGATTGGGTGGTTATAGAATAGGAGCTGCCTCGTATGGGCCAATAGGCCTTCTGCAGTTACCTTTGTTCTTATGTTCTTATGTTCTTATACAGTCCAACAAAAGGGACTCCTCAGACTGGAGGAGTGTCGTATATTGGGTGAGAGGGCGAGTACCTGTCAGGAAGGCAGCAAAGGGTTACAGTGATAGCGGAGATGAGTAAAGAGAGATTACGAGCGACACAAGGGGCCTATAATAGTAATTAAATTTTAGACGATGCAAAACTGAGAAGAGTCAGGACAGACTGTGGCGCCCTGTATACTGGACACACTATCCTGTATACATGCGTGTGTGTGTACTCACTTAGTTGTGTTTGCGGGGGTTGAGCTCTGACTCTGTGTCTGGGGTGGGCTGTGGGGGAGGGGGATTCGAGGGGGGTAACATCGCCAGTACCCCCGTGTAGGGTTACGGAGAACAAGAAGCAGTGGGCTGAGTGGTGGTAATCAGTCAGCCAGACCAGTGCTGACCCAGAACGATGTCGTCCGCAGTGTTCGCTGGCTACACCGACAACGCTGCTAGAGCCTTTGACGCCAAGAGTGGCACCCTGAAGCGGATCTTTCAGGGTCACATCGATACTGTCAACTGCTTGGCCGTCTTGGGCACCAAACTCTACACGGCTGGCTCCGACGGCGCCATAATGGTCTGGGACGCCTCCAAGATCAGGTAAGATACAGCAGCAGCAATCCACCATCCTATCCAGAGCTGAGGTCTCCTCTGGACCTGTACGCGCAGTGGGATAGGCACTGGCACCTCTCGTTAAGGCTATGGTGTCCTCTGGTTAAACTCTCGCATTTTCTATACACACAACTGTTAGTTTCTGCTCTAGTTCTCTGTGTAAACATTGAATATGGTGAGGATACCTGGGGTGTGTTAGTGGCGGGGGTCACGTCAACAGGTATACCTGGGGTGTGTTAGTGGCGGGGGTCACGTCAACAGGTATACCTGGGGTGTGTTAGTGGCGGGGGTCACGTCAACAGGTATACCTGGGGTGTGTTAGTGGCGGGGGTCACGTTAACAGGTATACCTGGGGTGTGTTAGTGGCGGGCGTCACGTCAACAGGTATACCTGGGGTGTGTTAGTGGCGGGGGTCACGTTAACAGGTATACCTGGGGTGTGGTGTTAATAGATCTTTTTAATAGAACTTAATGGATCTTATTTGGATCTTATTTTTTTTAATTTCCACAAATAGAGCAGTTGTCATGTGCGCCGTTGTTGTTGCTTTTAGTTATTACACGTGTTGGCCTTGCCTAGCGTTGCATATGTTGGTAGCAGGTGTTGCACATACCCACGCACAGTGGGCCTCCAGTTGCATGTGCCCTGATATATATTGCTACAATAATAAGAACGTGAGTTGCGTAGTTTTTATGTTTTTTAAAAGCTGAAGTTTTCATAATCTTGTCAATCAAAGAGGCTTTTAATTTTTTCTTTCGGTAATGGTGGTTTATTTCGGCACTCGCGTCTACTAAATATTATTTGCTTTTTAATTGTGTTATTTTATTCTCTGTAGAATTCAACATTACAATTATGGTCATGTGGGAAGTTGTAGATAAAATAGTGAGTATGCAAGAGTTGGGTTAGTACCTAACACCTAGGATGGAGCTCCTAATCTGTTAGAAAGCAGCTAACATTTAGGAGGCAGCTGCTCACCTGAGTTAGGAAGCACCTAGGAGGCAGCTGCTCACCTGAGTTAGGAAGCACCTAGGAGGCAGCTGTTCACCTGTGTTAGGAAGCACCTAGGAGGCAGCTGCTCACCTGAGTTAGGAAGCACCTAGGAGGCAGCTGCTCACCTGAGTTAGGAAGCACCTAGGAGGCAGCTGCTCACCTGAGTTAGGAAGCACCTAGGAGGCAGCTGCTCACCTGAGTTAGGAAGCACCTAGGAGGCAGCTGCTCACCTGAGTTAGGAAGCACCTAGGAGGCAGCTGCTCACCTGAGTTAGGAAGCACCTAGGAGGCAGCTGCTCACCTGAGTTAGGAAGCACCTAGGAGGAAGCTGCTCACCTGACCTGCGGGGAAGATGGAGCCAACGTCGTCCTGCGCCTAAACCTCTCATTTTTGCCTCCTCAGCTGACGTGGTAGTGAAGGGCTCGGGACTGGCTGCCGTGTACGGTGCCATCCAGTGTTGCAGTGTGTGTGTTCTATGTCTAGCCACAAGGCCACTGCTGCCTCATTTCTGTAGTATATTATGGGGGGGTCCTTCTCCTTAATCACTCCACACATTATTTATATCGTACTTTTAGGTTCGTTTGACGTTGATCCAAAGTGACATAAAAGCCTCTTTAATGCAATTGTTGTGTGTGTGTTAAGATGTGACCCAGATCTGATCTATGCCTGGCAGTTGGCACTCTTCATTAAATGTAAACTTCATCATACTCAATTTAATGTCAAAATGAACAAATCTGCAAAACCCAGTATTGATGTTGAGCAGAGCCTGGAGCCTCCCTCTGTCTTACAGTACAGACGAGGAGATGTTCCACTTGTCTGCCGCCACAACCACAGTCAAACGATCATCGGTGAGCCCCATGCTAGGGGAGATGCGGTAAGTCGCCTCTCACCATGTGCTGGTAAGTCAGCTCGGACCCCACTCACCAAGCATTTACGAGGCCATTTGCGAGATATGAAAAGTCGTATCTCGATTGCGGTGCCTCAGTCGGACTTTCCTGGAGAGTTTACAAGCTCAGAAGAGCTAAGTCGTGTTCTACCCAAGACTGGCATGGAGGACTTGGTAGTGGCTCACGGCTGGTAAACACTTGGGCAAGCAGCGAGGAAGCGGCCGTGGTGGAGATACGAGCAACAAGTCTCGCAAGTGGACGGGTAGGTGGTCTGTGAGTTCGGGCCGGAAGTAGTAGAGACGTTGTAGCGCCGTGTGTGTACTGAGCCCACATCACCACACCAGTTAACGTCTACATACTTCCCTGTTGACCATCACTCAGCAGGTCAACCGCACGTGTTGCATTAAGCTGTGTTCTGACATGTAGCCTCACTTGTAGTCTAGTTCGCTTATGCAGATGGATGAAGAACTCCAATTTGTTGACAATGATCTCAGTTACGTATAAATTATGTATAGCAATCTGGGTCACACGAGTAAAAAGTAAAAAAGAAAATACCTTCATGTTTCTATGGCGTTTACATTTTGGAATAAAAACTCAACAATATTTCACATTTGGCGAGCAAATAATCTTTTTATCTTTTTTCATTGCAGCGATGAATCGTCGACCACCGACGACTCCGAGGACGAGTTCCACAAAGTTGACTTGAACTTTGACCTTGAGCAATACTTGGCCGACGACGTCGATCCGACCAGCCGACCTGATGAGTGATCATAGCAAACTGGTAGAATAGTCGACGGCCAAGTGTACCCGACCTGAAGAGCTCGAACGAGGAACTAATACAATGTAAACCATTACAACGGACACGATGTAATGGTTTACATGACAGTCCCAAGGCACGGAACCCGTGGCCGAGCACAGAGCCATCTACACTATACAGACAAGTAACCATTACATCATGAAATAAACAGTTTAAATGAAGGTTTATGTGTCTTAGTTTTAATAACTTTATTTGGGAGAAAACAAAACACTGGAATTCGTGTAAGCCAAGCTGTGTTAGCGCTAACTTCCAATACCACAGAAATTTCAAATGACAAATATTTATTAAGCTTTGCGTGTTAACATAGAGTGACTCCATGTCTCATTTTTACTAGAGGAGACCCGGGCCAGCCTTTCTATAAGGTCTGAGAAGTGTCAAGACTAGTTAATTCCTGCGTGTATCTGTTGGTGTTGAGTGACCAAGGTGGTGTGTCTGCTGGTGCTGAGTGGCCAAGGTGGTGTGTCTGCTGGCGCTGAGTGACCAAGGTGGTGTGTCTGCTGGTGCTGAGTGACCAAGGTGTGTCTGCTGGTGCTGAGTGGCCAAGGTGGTGTGTCTGCTGGTGCTGAGTGACCAAGGTGGTGTGTCTGCTGGTGCTGAGTGACCAAGGTGGTGTGTCTGCTGGTGCTGAGTGACTAAGGTGTGTCTGCTGGTGCTGAGTGACCAAGGTGTGTCTGCTGGTGCTGAGTGACCAAGGTGTGTCTGCTGGTGCTGAGTGACCAAGGTGTGTCTGCTGGTGCTGAGTGACCAAGGTGTGTCTGCTGGTGCTGAGTGACCAAGGTGTGTCTCCTGGTGCTGAGTGACCAAGCTGTGTCTGCTGGCGTTGAGTGACCAAGGTGTGTCTGCTGGTGTTGAGTGACCAAGGTGTGTCTGCTGGCGTTGAGTGACCAAGGTGTGTCTGCTGGCGTTGAGTGACCAAGGTGTGTCTGCTGGCGTTGGGTGACCAAGGTGTGTCTGCTGGTGCTGAGTGACCAAGGTGGTGTATCTGCTGGTGCTGAGTGACCAAGGTGTGTCTGCTGGTGTTCCGTGACCAAGGTGTGTCTGCTGGTGCTGAGTGACCAAGGTGTGTCTGCTGGTGTTCCGTGACCAAGGTGTGTCTGCTGGTGTTCCGTGACCAAGGTGTGTCTGCTGGTGTTCCGTGACCAAGGTGTGTCTGCTGGTGTTCCGTGACCAAGGTGGTGTGTCTGCTGGCGTTGAGTGACCAAGGTGTGTCTGCTGGTGCTGAGTGACCAAGGTGTGTCTGCTGGTGCTGAGTGACCAAGGTGTGTCTGCTGGTGCTGAGTGACCAAGGTGTGTCTGCTGGTGCTGAGTGACCAAGGTGGTGTGTCTGCTGGTGCTGAGTGATCAAGGTGTGTCTGCTGGTGCTGAGTGACCAAGGTGTGTCTGCTGGTGCTGAGTGACCAAGGTGTGTCTGCTGGTGCTGAGTGACCAAGGTGTGTCTGCTGGTGCTGAGTGACCAAGGTGTGTCTGCTGGTGCTGAGTGACCAAGGTGTGTCTGCTGGTGCTGAGTGACCAAGGTGGTGTGTCTGCTGGTGCTGAGTGACCAAGGTGGTGTGTCTGCTGGCGCTGAGTGACCAAGAGGTGACACTTGGATGACAATGTTACTTATTGAGTCCGCTGTTATGACCACCAGTTTGGGTAACGATCAGTTGATGTGCGGCCAGTTAGTGTGACCAGCAGCTGAAATAACGATCAGCTGGTGTAACAGACAGATGGCGTGGCGACCAGCTGGTGTAACAGACAGATGGCGTGGCGATCAGCTGGTGTAACAGACAGATGGCGTGGCGACCAGCTGGTGTAACAGACAGATGGCGTGACGACCAATAGCTTTACTTCCCTCTCCCTGTACCATGCTCTCCACACCGACTGCTGTCGTCAGAGGTCGTTGTAGTTCTCTGTGAGGTAAACTACCCGAGTAACAGAGTCTCGTGAGTCTCTACTTGTGTTAGAACAATTTGAAGAACATTTTGCTGAACTTGTTGAAGAGGATTCTTGTTCTCCATGATGAAGAACAGGGAGGACTATGATACAGAAGGTATGGAATGGTAGGTCTGGTCTAAACATGGCGCTGTTAAAGGTGTTGATCCTTACTGGTTCCCCGTCACAGTGGGGTTGGGTGTGACCCCAGGCGATGACTGCTCATCATCTTCTCAATTATCTTCTGCCGCTCCGTCCACTGTCCATCCTCTCCTCTTGAATAATTCATCGCATTTTGACGTCAAAATCCCCAAACGAACAAAGTAAGATTTACCATAAATCACAGCGGCTCACAAACATTCACGTTTTCTATGTGTGGGTCACTAGAGTACGTTATGTTGATTTCGGGTAATTAGGACATCATTTCCTGTCCATTGAGGCAATTTGAGAGGACGGGCTGTACTGTAACTGGCCAAGAGAGTTTTGAAAGCTGGGTAGTATGTGGCTCTTTCCAGAACTGGGTGGTGTTGAGCAGTCACTAGCAGTGTTGTGTCAACAAGTAGTCTTGGATGACTCTTGTCCCTAGTGGTTGTGTGTAGGCTTAGTGCTGATTATACTCTGCTGGAGAGTTAATAACTTCCTGGTAGAAGAGTGTCTTGTGTTCCTGTGATTCATTTCATTAAAAATATTAATTGCCTTAAAGAAAAATTCAGGATGTTCGGATGTACCAAGTATATGTCTGTGTTTATTAAATAAATTCACTTTCTTTGTGAATTGAAAGTATTATTTATCCTTTAATTTTAGTAGTTAAATATATTCTGTGATAACTATATCTAGGAGTTTGTACCAATAATAACAAACTAACCTACTTAACTTACCTAACTTACCTAACCTATCATACCTTAGCCTATCCCACATAACCTACCTAACTTACCTAACCTATCATACCTTAGCCTATCTCACATAACCTACCTAACTTACCTAACCTATCATACCTTAGCCTATCCCACATAACCTACCTAACTTACCTAACCTATCATACCTTAGCCTATCTCACATAACCTACCTATCTTACCAAATCTATCCTACCCTATCCCACATAGCCTACCTCACACCCATCTATCTTAACCTAAGTTTCATAACTTACCTAACTTAACATAATCTACCAAATCTAACCTAACAAATACAATCAACTATGAATACATGTCCACAACATAAGACTTATTCCACAACACTGTCAATACACTCCATCTACACCTGCCACCAGTGTACCTGCTACACCTGCCACCAGTGTACCTGCTACACCCGCCACCAGTGTACCTGCTACACCTGCCACCAGTGTACCTGCTACACCCGCCACCAGTGTACCTGCTACACCTGCCACCAGTGTACCTGCTACACCTGCCACCAGTGTACCTGCTACACCTGCCACCAGTGTACCTGCTACACCTGCCACCAGTGTACCTGCTACACCTGCCACCAGTGTACCTGCTACACCTGCCACCAGTGTACCTGCTACACCTGTCACCAGTGTATCTGCTACACCTGCCACCAGTGTACCTGCTACACCTGTCACCAGTGTATCTGCTACTCCCGCCACCAGTGTACCTGCTATACCTGCCACCAGTGTACCTGCTACACCTGCCACCAGTGTACCTGCTACACCTGCCACCAGTGTACCTGCTACACCTGCCACCAGTGTACCTGCTACACATGTGTTTATCAGTATATCCTTACACTCTCTACTCGTACTCTCATCTGGCCCGGAAAGTGCCATTATTTTCAACATCTGGGATTATTAACATTAAGAAACCTTTCCCTAACCCTCTTAGTTCTTCGTCTTGCTATTTATTACATGTAGTACATATGGTGTCAGGTACTGTGTCGGCCAGAACAGTGGTGTCAGGTACTGTGTCGGCCAGAACAGTGGTGTCAGGTACTGTGTCAGCCAGAACAGTGGTGTCAGGTACTGTGTCGGCCAGAACAGTGGTGTCAGGTACTGTGTCAGCCAGAACAGTGGTGTCAGGTACTGTGTCAGCCAGAACAGTGGTGTCAGGTACTGTGTCGGCCAGAACAGTGGTGTCAGGTACTGTGTCAGCCAGAACAGTGGTGTCAGGTACTGTGTCGGCCAGAACAGTGGTGTCAGGTACTGTTTCAGCCAGAACAGTGGTGTCAGGTACTGTGTCAGCCAGAACAGTGGTGTCAGGTACTGTGTCAGCCAGAACAGTGGTGTCAGGTACTGTGTCGGCCAGAACAGTGGTGTCAGGTACTGTGTCGGCCAGAACAGTGGTGTCAGGTACTGTGTCAGCCAGAACAGTGGTGTCAGGTACTGTGTCAGCCAGAACAGTGGTGTCAGGTACTGTGTCGGCCAGAACAGTGGTGTCAGGTACTGTGTCGGCCAGAACAGTGGTGTCAGGTACTGTGTCAGCCAGAACAGTGGTGTCAGGTACTGTGTCGGCCAGAACAGTGGTGTCAGGTACTGTGTCGGCCAGAACAGTGGTGTCAGGTACTGTGTCAGCCAGAACAGTGGTGTCAGGTACTGTGTCAGCCAGAACAGTGGTGTCAGGTACTGTGTCGGCCAGAACAGTGGTGTCAGGTCCTGCCCCAAGCTACGCAGCAATGAAGCCAGGTCTTGTGTGTCAATCAACAGCCTGGTAATGGTATCAAATCTTACCACAACAAGGTAACCTTGGAGTGTGAGGTTATGGTGGTGGTGGTGATGGTGGTGGTGATGGTGGTGATGGTGGTGGTGGTGGTGGTGGTGGTGGTGGTGGTGATGGTGGTGGTGGTGTGGGGGGGGGGAGGGACTGTATTCCGTGTGGTAGTCGCCTGGCTACCACACACAGCAAGGACGAGGGAGGGTGCCACCACCCGCCCCCACGACACACACACACACACACACACACACACACACACACACACACACACACACACACACACACACACTCACGAGTGTTGCTCTCGTGAACCTCTCGGCCAGCTCGAGAGCTCTAGTGTCTCTAGACCGTCACTACACACCGGAAGGTAAGCTGGTAAGCTGTTGTCTCTCGCACACCTGACTGCCACACCTGACTGCCACATCACACTTGAAGCTGAGAAACAAGCACAGATATCTCATTTCTCAAGTCTTCTCTACTGAGAGATATTTACAATTGGGACAAGATGACAGGTGTTGTGTCCGTCCCTACCCAGACACGCAGAGTGTCTTGCCCGAGCTATCTAAGATATTCTTGCCCGAACACACACACATACACACAGACCACATACACACAGACCGCATACACACAGACCACATACACACAGACTGCATACACACAGACCGCATACACAGACCACATATACACAGACCACATACACACAGACCACATACACACAGACCACATATACACAGACCACATACACACAGACCACATACACACAGACCACATATACACAGACCACATACACACAGACCACATATACACAGACCACATACACACAGACCACATACACACAGACCACATACACACAGACCACATACACACAGACCACATACACACAGACCACATACACACAGACCACATATACACAGACCACATACACACAGACCATATATACACACAGACCACATACACACAGACCACATACACACAGACCGCATACACACAGACCACATACACACAGACCACATACACACAGACCACATACACACAGACCACATACACATAGACCACATACACACAGACCGCATACACACAGACCACATACACATAGACCACCCACACACAGACCACATACACACAGACCACATACATACAGACCACATACACACAGACCGCATACACACAGACCGCATACACACAGAATGCACTGGGAAGTGATGTGGTGGCGGCAGACTCCATACATTGTTTCAAATGTAGATATGATAGAGCCCAGTAGGCTCGGGAACCTGTACAACATTTGATTGACAGTTGAAACCGGGACCAAAGAGCCAGAGCTCAACCCCCGCAAGGACAACTAGGTGAGTACACACACAAGAACACACAAGCAGGCACACACACACACACATACACACACACACACACACACACACACACACACACACACACACACACACACACACACACACACACACACAAGAACACACACACGAGAACGTATCAGCAAGGCAGCACACTCTCCTGCTATGGTTACCAAGGTGTATACCACAACACCATTGATCGTCACGAGGGCAACCTTCACATAATCACATACACCACCCCACATATAGCGGTCACATACACCACCCCACATATAGCGGTCACATACACCACCCCACATATAGGGGTCACATACACCACCCCACATATAGCGGTCACATACACCACCCCACATATAGCGGTCACATACACCACCCCACATATAGCGGTCACATACACCACCCCACATATAGGGGTCACATACACCACCCCACATATAGCGGTCACATACACCACCCCACATATAGCGGTCACATACACCACCCCACATATAGGGGTCACATACACCACCCCACATATAGGGGTCACATACACCACCCCACATATAGCGGTCACATACACCACCCCACATATAGGGGGTGACCCCTCACTTGCTCTAGTGCTGGGGTCTGAGCTGGTGGTGGAGCGGGTTAAGGCGTACCTGTTATGCCAGTTGCTGGAAGGCTTCTGTGCTGGCTAGGGTTCGAGTCTCCTGGTGGGAAAGTGTTCTAAAGTTGTATATATATATATATATATATATATATATATATATATATATATATATATATATATATATATATTGGTGAAGGTGTAATTGCGTATTGTTTATCCCCCCTTCATTCCTTGCACTGTCACTTGTTACCGCCAATTCTTGATCTTACCATCGACTTTGGGTAGGATAAAGAAGAGGTTTAAAACCCGAACAGTTACTGGCTCAAGCAGGCCGTAATACACCCATATTGTTTTCTACTACTGGTCTACTACAGGTGGTCTTTGCAAGCATAACAATATTATGCTTTGAAATGCCAACATGTGATGGCATCTAAAAGAATTTTATTTCAAATCTGTGTTCTTTAGCAGGTAAAACATTCATTCGAATATAACTGACTATATTCTGGGTGTTACTATGTGCGTTCAATACCTGGAGTGCACTCTGCGAGTCACAGTATATAAGTCCACTGCCTTCGTCTTTTAACAATTCAGTGACAAGGTTCAGTGCCTGCAAGTTCGGTTTGAGTTGTACTTGCACAATCATTGACGCGCTTCATTGCTGTGTGTACGAGAAAAGATTAGTTAAATACATTACATGCACATCCGGTACATCTTCCACCTTATTCTCCTGAACCGTCGGTATAGCACTAATACACATCGTTACCCATAACCTGAGTACTGTGATGCTGTATAGTGTTAACTGTTGTAATAATGTGTACACTATCTTTCTTGGGGGCATTTACTAAATCAAGTGATAGATCCCAGATATACCTTAGATTAATTGGTTTATTGTTCATTAATTGAGCTGGGTACATATATAATGTTTTGATGGGGTTGGCTACGTTGTAGAACTAAGGTATGGGCGTTCGTGTCCCCAGCAGGAGGAGGAGGCAGGATGGGCGCCGCCGGTAGCAGGGACCTGAGGAAATTCCCGCAGGAGACACTCTGTGATCATAATGGTAGCATCAACTGCATGGCCGCCTCCGACGACGAGTCTCTGCTCGTCACCGGCTCCGAGGACAAGACTGCCAGAGTCTGGTCCGTTGGTGAAGACGACACCGAGTGTCTTGGTGTCATACGGTATGTCTGCCTCTGTGTCATACGGTATGTCTGCCTCTGTGTCATATGGTATGTCTGCCTCTGTGTCATATGGTATGTCTGCCTCTGTGTCATACGGTATGTCTGCCTCTGTCATACGGTATGTCTGCCTCTGTGTCATACGTTATGTCTGCCTCTGTGTCATACGGTATGTCTGCCTCTGTCATACGGTATGTCTGCCTCTGTGTCATACGTTATGTCTGCCTCTGTGTCATACGGTATGTCTGCCTCTGTGTCATACGGTATGTCTGCCTCTGTGTCATACGTTATGTCTGCCTCTGTGTCATACGTTATGTCTGCCTCTGTGTCATACGGTATGTCTGCCTCTGTGTCATACAGTATGTCTGCCTCTGTGTCATACGTTATGTCTGCCTCTGTGTCATACGTTATGCCTGCCTCTGTGTCATACGGTATGTCTGCCTCTGTGTCATACGGTATGTCTGCCTCTGTGTCATACGGTATGTCTGTCTCGGTGTCATACGGTATGTCTGCCTCTGTGTCATACGGTATGTCTGTCTAGGTGTCATACGCTATATCTGTCTAGGTGTCATATGGTATGTCTGTCTTGGTCTCATACTGTATGTCTGTCTTGGTGTCATACGGTATGTCTACCTCTGTGTCATACGGTATGTCTGCCTTGGTGTCATACGGTATGTCTGCCTTTGTGTCATATGGTATGTCTGCCTTTGTGTCATACGGTATGTCTGCCTTTGTGTCATACGGTATGTCTGTCTAGGTGTCATACGTTATATCTGTCTAGGTGTCATACAGTATGTCTGTCTTGGTCTCATACTGTATGTCTGTCTTGGTGGCAAATGTACGTGAACGCATCATGTGTTATACGTATATGTGTGTTCAGTATATGTATGTCTTGGTGTCATCCAAATACTGCTATCAGGAGCCCCAAGTTATAAAGTCTGGGTACTGTTGTCAGGAGCCCCAAGTTATAAAGTCTGGGTACTGTTGTCAGGAGCCCCAAGTTATAAAGTCTGGGTACTGTTGTCAGGAGCCCCAAGTTATAAAGTCTGGGTACTGTTGTCAGGAGCCCCAAGTTATAAAGTCTGGGTACTGTTGTCAGGAGCCCCAAGTTATAAAGTCTGGGTACTGTTGTCAGGAGCCCCAAGTTATAAAGTCTGGGTACTGTTGTCAGGAGCCCCAAGTTATAAAGTCTGGGTACTGTTGTCAGGAGCCCCAAGTTATAAAGTCTGGGTACTGTTGTCAGGAGCCCCAAGTTATAAAGTCTGGGTACTGTTGTCAGGGGCCCCAAGTTATAAAGACGGTATCGTGCCCAGGGGCCCACTATCTTAACAATGGGTGCTTGTGACAGGGGCCACACAAGCTACATCACCTGCGTGACGGTCCACGACACCTTCGTCATCACGGGGTCAGCTGACAGCACCCTCAGGAAGTGGGACATTATCACCTGTGACTGTCTCTTCACCTATCACGGTACGTCACCAAGCCGTATTGTGCCTGATACTAAGCCCATGCTCCTCTCCCTTACCCATGCTCCTCTCCCTGACCCATGCTCCTCTCCCTGACCCATGCTCCTCTCCTTCAGCCACACCACCTGCCCCCAGCCACACCACCTGCCCCCAGCCACACTACGTGCCCCCAGCCACACCACCTGCCCCCAGCCACACTACCTGCCCCCAGCCACACCACCTGCCCCCAGCCACACCACCTGCCCCCAGCCACACTACCTGACCCCAGCCACACTACCTGCCCCCAGCCACACTACCTGCCCCCAGCCACACTACCTGACCCCAGCCACACTACCTGCCCCCAGTCACACTACCTGCCCCCAGCCACACTACCTGCCCCCAGCCACACTACCTGCCCCCAACCACACTACCTGCCCCCAGCCACACCACCTGCCCCCAGCCACACTACCTGCCCCCAGCCACACCACCTGCCCCCAGCCACACTACCTGCCCCCAGCCACACTACCTGCCCCCAGCCACACTACCTGCCCCCAGCCACACTACCTGCCCCCAGCCACACCACTAATACAATTCGTGGCACAGGTCACAATTCGCGAGTGACGCGGGTGCTGTGCACGGGAGAGTACGTGTTCAGCACGTCCCAGGACACCACCGCTAAGGCTTGGTACATCGACGAGGACGAGCTGGAGGAGCACGACGACACCTCCGTCTGCATCCGCACTTTCCAGGTATTGACCACGACTTGTCTTCCTCTCTCTACTACATATAATTTTCTTTCTAACACAAAAAAAATCCTCAGGGGAATAGACAGGGTAGACAAGGATAAACTATTCAACACGGGTGGTACTCGAACAAGGGGACACAGGTGGAGACTGAGTACCCAAATGAGCCACAGGGACGTTAGAAAGAACTTTTTCAGTGTCAGAGTAGTTAACAGATGGAATGCATTAGGCAGTGATGTGGTGGAGGCTGACTCCATACACAGTTTCAAATGTAGATATGATAGAGCCCAATAGGCTCAGGAACCTGTACACCAGTTGATTGACAGTTGAGAGGCGGGACCAAACAGCCAAAGCTCGACCGTTCTCTTTAAGTGCATTCCATTTTTTCCTCAGGAGTTAGATTAGGTGTTACGTCCACGCCCAGGTCTCTTTCTAGAGTCGTCACAGGTAGGCAGTTCCCCTTCAATGTGTAGTGTCCCTTTGGTATCCTGTCATCTAATCCCATTTCCATAACTTTACATTTGCCCGTGTTGAACTCCAGTAGCCATTTCTCTGACCATCTCTGCAACCTGTTAAAATCCTCTTGGAGGATCCTACAATCCTCATCTGTCACAACTCTTCTCATCAGCTTTGCGTCAGCCGCGAGCATCGACATGTAGGATTCCTGTAAACATGTCGTTAACGTATATTAGAACTAGAATTGGTCCCAGCACCGATCCTTGAGGTACTCCACTCGTTCCTGTTCGCCAGTCTGACTTCTCGCCCCGTACCGGAAGCCTCTGGCTCCTTCCTGTTAGGTAGTTCCTTACCCATGCTAGGGCCTTTCCGCTTAATCCCGCTTGCGTCTCAAATTTGAATAGCAGGCTCATGTGCGGTACTGTAACAAAGGCCTTTTGGCGGTCCAGAAATATGAAGTCTGCCCAACCTTTTCTGTCCTGCCTTATCCTCGTTATTTTATCATAGAATTCCAAAAGGTTTGGTAGGCAAGATTTCCCTTTCCAGAACTCGTGTGTGTGTGTGTGTGTGTGTGTGTGTGTGTGTGTGTGTGTGTGTGTGTGTGTGTGTGTGTGTGTGTGTGTGTGTGTGTGTGTGTGTGTGTGTGTGTGTGTGTGTGTATACTCACCTAGTTGTACTTACCTAGTTGTGTTTACGGGGGGTTGAGTTCTGGCTCTTTGGTCCCGCCTCTCAACCGTCAATCAACTGACCATACAAGCGTGTGTTTGTGGCCTAGAGCGACTAACACACCGGAGGCAGTAGTTAAGAGAGAGTAACGAGAGTCCTGGGTGTTGTGTAGGGACACACCGGGGGCATCTACTGCCTGGCCATCATCCCGGGGGACGACCAGATTAACGAGGTCAAGGGCCTGGGTGACGTCATCATCACCGGCAGCATGGACTGCACCGCCCGATCCTGGTGCTTCACCAGCGGCACGTGTCTCAAGGTCAGTACCTCCCCCCCCCCCCGCCCTGGTGCTTCACCAGCGGCACGTGTCTCAAGGTCAGTACCTCCCCCCCCCCCGCCCTGGTGCTTCACCAGCGGCACGTGTCTCAAGGTCAGTATCCCCCCTGCCCCCCCTGGTGCTTCACCAGCGGCACGTGTCTGAAGGTCAGTACCCACCCCCCGCCCTGGTGCTTCACCAGCGGCACGTGTCTCAAGGTCAGTATCCCCCCCCCGCCCTGGTGCTTCACCAGCGGCACGTGTCTCAAGGTCAGTACCCCCCCCCCCGCCCTGGTGCTTCACCAGCGGCACGTGTCTCAAGGTCAGTACCCCCCCTGCCCCCCCTGGTGCTTCACCAGCGGCACGTGTCTCAAAGTCAGTACCCCCCCCCCCCCCCGCCCTGGTGCTTCACCAGCGGCACGTGTCTCAAGGTCAGTACCCCCCCCCCCGCCCTGGTGCTTCACCAGCGGCACGTGTCTCAAGGTCAGTACCCCCCCCCCCCCCCGCCCTGGTGCTTCACCAGCGGCACGTGTCTCAAGGTCAGTACCCCCCCCCGCCCTGGTGCTTCACCAGCGGCACGTGTCTCAAGGTCAGTACCCCCCCCCCCCCGCCCTGGTGCTTCACCAGCGGCACGTGTCTCAAGGTCAGTACCCCCCCCCCCGCCCTGGTGCTTCACCAGCGGCACGTGTCTCAAGGTCAGTACCTCCCCCTGCCCCCCTCCCGCCCTGGTGCTTCACCAGCGGCACGTGTCTCAAGGTCAGTACCCCCCCCCCCGCCCTGGTGCTTCACCAGCGGCACGTGTCTCAAGGTCAGTACCTCCCCCCCGCCCTGGTGCTTCACCAGCGGCACGTGTCTCAAGGTCAGTAACCCCCCCCTGGTGCTTCACCAGCGGCACGTGTCTCAAGGTCAGTACCCCCCCCCCCCGCCCTGGTGCTTCACCAGCGGCACGTGTCTCAAGGTCAGTACCTCCCCCCCCCCCGCCCTGGTGCTTCACCAGCGGCACGTGTCTCAAGGTCAGTACCTCCCCCTGCCCCCCCCCCCGCCTGGTGCTTCACCAGCGGCACGTGTCTCAAGGTCAGTACCCCCCCCCCCCCCGCCCTGGTGCTTCACCAGCGGCACGTGTCTCAAGGTCAGTAACCCCCCCCCTGGTGCTTCACCAGCGGCACGTGTCTCAAGGTCAGTACCCCCCCCCCGCCCTGGTGCTTCACCAGCGGCACGTGTCTCAAGGTCAGTACCCCCCCCCCCCCCCCCGCCCTGGTGCTTCACCAGCGGCACGTGTCTCAAGGTCAGTAACCCCCCCCTGGTGGTTCACCAGCGGCACGTGTCTCAAGGTCAGTAACCCCCCCCTGGTGCTTCACCAGCGGCACGTGTCTCAAGGTCAGTACCCCCCCCCCGCCCCGGTGCTTCACCAGCGGCACGTGTCTCAAGGTCAGTAACCCCCCCCCCTGGTGCTTCACCAGCGGCACGTGTCTCAAGGTCAGTAACCCCCCCCTGGTGCTTCACCAGCGGCACGTGTCTCAAGGTCAGTAACCCCCCCCTGGTGCTTCACCAGCGGCACGTGTCTCAAGGTCAGTAACCCCCCCCTGGTGCTTCACCAGCGGCACGTGTCTCAAGGTCAGTACCCCCCCCCCGCCCCGGTGCTTCACCAGCGGCACGTGTCTCAAGGTCAGTAACCCCCCCTGGTGCTTCACCAGCGGCACGTGTCTCAAGGTCAGTAACCCCCCCCCCTGGTGCTTCACCAGCGGCACGTGTCTCAAGGTCAGTACCCCCCCCCCCCCCGCCCTGGTGCTTCACCAGCGGCACGTGTCTCAAGGTCAGTACCCCCCCCCCGCCCTGTTGCTTCACCAGCGGCACGTGTCTCAAGGTCAGTACCCTCCCCCCTGCCCTGGTGCTTCACCAGCGGCACGTGTCTCAAGGTTAGTACCCTCCCCCCCTGCCCTGGTGCTTCACCAGCGGCACGTGTCTCAAGGTCAGTACCCCCCCCCCCCCCCCGCCCTGGTGCTTCACCAGCGGCACGTGTCTCAAGGTCAGTAAGGGTGCTTTTTTTCCATTAGTCATTCATGCACTGTTTGTCAGCCTTCTTGAGGAGGCAACTTCCTGTGACGAACACATGACCACATTACTATTGTCATTACCTTTTAGTGATTACTTTTAATATACCATAATCTACCATCATTTACTGTGTGGGGTGTGTCTTACTGTACCAGAAGTTCGAGGGCCACACCTCCTGCGTGAGCTGCCTGGCCACCGACAACGCCGGCCGGCTCCTCTACACCGGCAGTGCCGACAGAACCCTTCGTAGCTGGGACCTCGCTACCGGTATCTGCTTCAGGGTAGGTGACTGTACAAACCCTCCTCTCCTGCCAGGGTAGGTGACTAATCCCCCCTTCCCTTGTCACCTGCTTCAGCATAGGTGACTGTACCCCCCCTCCCTTGTCACCTGCTTCAGCATAGGTGACTGTACCCCTCTCCCATCCTCACCCTTCTTTAATCTCTCGCCTTTCAGTCTGGTATCTGTTAATTAAGTTGGAGACGGAGGTGGCTGTCACAACTTTGTTTTCTCAGTTCGCTACAAGTGTTAACCATCTGTTTCCGTACATTTATTCGATTCCTTTGTGCTTTCTGCTTTCTCCTGTGTCCTCTTTTCCGTCCTTCAAATTAAGAGGCTGCGTTTGTCCACCTTGTTGCATCTCCATGAATGGTTTTATTTTTAAATTAACATAGTTGAACGATTACAACAGAGGGAATTGTGGTGTTAGGGAGTGTCGCTAGACAATGCAAACTCGTACCTTCTGTGTGCTAAGTTACCCTTAGACCCAAGAGGCCAGGTCTTGTGTGTTACATTTCATACCAGTTACCGCGACCTACTAATCGTATAACCGGGGTGGATCACCTGTGTCAGTATGCCTTGATATCGCCCTGCAACGAGCACTCCCCTAGTCTGTATTGATAGCAAGGTAGGCCCAGACTCTCTTAATGGGCACAGCTTAGTTCCTTGTCGCCAGTTAAATTGCGAAGCTCGCTTTGGATTTGGATAGACAAATTTAAGTCGGTTTTCTTGATTGTCATTCAGAGACCTCCAGACCTTTCCCAGCCCAGGTGGGGCCTTGGCCCCCCCTCCCGACACCTCGTTATCTTGACCCTTGTTGAGTGTAAGTGCAGTGTGGTTCTTATCAGATGTTTAGAAATGTCTGTCAGTCGTGTAGATATTTTTTTTAGTTCTTTCAACGATTCCCTTCATATTGAACATTTTGTAAAGATTACAAATTTATGTAATCTTTACATAAATATCAAGATTATTTGTGTTTAAAAAGTAATTTATGAGAAATATATAAATTAACCATTACTGGCGTTATCCAATTTAGCCTTGGATGAAAATTGTTGATCTGTTAAAACTATACCATACACCATCTATATGTTGAGCTGTGCAGAGTGAAAGGCGCTCACAGAATGTTACTGATTAGATTGACCACAAGCTTAATGTTATCACTACATACATAAAAAGGCTGAAAGATAATCATACTCTTGTCTATAAAGTTGACTGGATGATAGCAGCATCTCTTCCACTTTTAACTGTTTTCATACTCTTCCTCTTTCCTCTCTATCCTCTTCCTCTATGGTGTTTACCTCTTTACTTCTGTGTTTTGCACCCCTCCTCTCGGTCTACTCTTCTCATTCTGTGCTCTTCATCCTTCTACCTCCTTTCAAACTTCTACCTCCTCTTTTTTTTTTCCTTTCCCATCCCCTATCACACATCTCATTCATAACATTGCCTATTCCCTTCGTAACTTTTTAATTCTGTTCCTTCTCTCTTCTAGGGTTGAGATTTAAGTTCCATAAGCTTGTCTTCATAACTTAACCCTCTTAACTTAGAGAACTAAGTTTCAATTTTGTGCTTCATGAGGGTCAGATTGCATGCCGGTGTTAAATATTCTATTATTGGTCTCACATAGGTTGTTTAGATTAGAATGATAGAATACTTTCTTAAGTTCATAAATACAGTTCTTATGTTCACAGCACGTCACATGCTTTCAATATTATCCTAGTTATGTCAGCCAGTAAGGTCACTGCTGGCATTATAGTCATTCCCAAGTACTATCATCTTGCCTATCCCTGAAGTTTCATTCTCTTATTCATTTATCTTTATTTGAAGTTTCATTCTCTTGGTGTCGTCTCCTGCTTTCTTCTCACAAGTTCATTACCATAAACTTGTTGAGGTTGAACTCTAACAGCCATTTCTCTGCCCACTCTTGTTTCATGGTGATTGTATTACTTAACATGTGCTTACATAGTTGAGTCTACGGGGAGTAAGACCCAGTTCCCGAGCCCCACTTAATAATTATACAATGATATATACTTACTTCCCTGCTATACTCTAGACATATACTGCACACAAGTATCCCCCTTACATTTCCCTGGCTCATCTGTGTTCCACCTATGGCCCTCGTTCTATTGTTCCTTAACTGGATAAGTACTATCCACTATGCCTATTCTATTCATTATATTATATTAGTGATCCTATTTCCGCTTATCCTTCTCTTCCAATGTCGCTAGGTTTAGTTCATTCAGCCTTTCCTTGTAGCTCAGTTCCTAAACTCTGCAACCTGTCTTGTTGGCAATCTTTGGGCCATCTATATTTTCTTGTAATTTACCAAGTGTGGGTTGCATGCTGGCGCTGCATACTCTGGGACTCGTCTAACATATGTCGTCAATATCAATCTGAAATATACCTTAATCATTTTCTTTAAAGGCACACTTAGCTTAAGCGTCTTCTGTATGCAGTTAATGTTGCTCCTCAGGAGTGAGGGGCAGGTGTTGCACCCACTCCTTGGAGGCAGGTGTTTACAACAGGTGTTGCTGATGTACGTAAGATACACCAGTACGTAAGATAAGGAGGTGTTGTGATGCAGGTGTTCGCGGGCCACCAGCACCACGTAGTGTGTCTGGTGGTGCTGAAGCAGCTGCTCTACAGCGGTGATGGAGGCGGGGTGGTGAAGGGGTGGGAGGTGGGCGCCGACGACCACCTCCCCAGGAACCTCCACCAGCACAAGACCCTCACCGTCGAGGCCCTCAACACCTTCACTGGTCACAACAACACCGTCAACTGCATCAAGTTCCACAAGGGCATCGGTGAGTCCTTAGATGTGACTGGGTGTAGAGTGATGATATAGAAAGTGACTGGGTGTAGAGTGATGGTGTAGGAAGTGACTGGGTGTAGTGTGACTGACTGGGTGTAGAGTGATGGTGTAGGAAGTGACTGGGTGTAGAGTGATGTTGTAGGAAGTGACTGGGTGTAGTGTGACTGACTGGGTGTAGAGTGAGTGTATTGTACTCGCCTAATTGTGCTTGCGAGGGTTGAGCTCTGGCTCTTTTTTCCCCGCCTCTCAACTGTCAATCAACTGATGTACAGGTCCCTGAGCCTACTGGGCTCTGTCATATCAACATTATAAACTGTATGGAGTCAGCCTCCACCACATCAATGCCTAATGCATTCCATCTGTTAACTACTGACACTGAAAAAGTTCTTTCTAACGTCAATGTGGTTCATTTGGGTACTCAGTTTCCACCTGTGTCCCCTTGTTCGCGTACCACCCGTGTTAAGCAGTTTATCTTTATCTACCCTGTCAATTCCTGAGAATTTTGTAGGTAGTGATCATGTATCCCCTTGCACCTCACGACATTAGAAGACAGAAGAGTATTTCTCGTAGCCTTTCTTCGCAGCCTTTTCTCGCAGCCTTTCCTTTCTGATTGGGTGTAGAATGAGGTTATAGAGTATGGCTGAAGTGTAGTGCATGGCTGAGGGGATGTGGAATGAGGGTATAGTGTAGAGTAAGGGTATAGTGTGTAGCTAACTGGTTGAAGAGTGAGGGGGGATAGGGTGTGACTGACTGGGTGTAGAGTGAGGGGTATAGAGTGGGACACTACAGCCACACTTGGCCCCCCCCCCAGTGTACAATAAAGCCGGACTTGCTTCCAGAGTGTACAATAAATTATCACTTGCCTCTACAGTGTACACTGGATGCAGTGACAATCTGACGAGAGCATTTGACGCCACAAGTAAGCAGCTGCTGGCAGTGTACGTCGGCCACAAGATTGGTGTCAACTGCCTCATGATGTGTGGCACGAAGCTCTTCAGCGGCTCCACAGACACCACCATAATGGTCTGGGACCTCGCTAAGCGCAGGTAACCTTTCATCACCTCCATCATGGTCTGGGGGGGAAGGATGCACCAGCACCTTGACCAGAAATAATGAATATGCGTTCTATGCTTATTCCCCTTTCTCTCTCTCTTCATACCTGAGAATGTCTTTTTGTTCTGTGCAAGATTTGTATTGTTGAGACAAGCAGGCTACAGTATACAGCTGTGGTGTCTTGTAGCTGCTTGTTGTTTTATAAGGAACGCTGCCGAGTTGACATTGTAGCACAGACCTGGACACTTTTCCCATTATTTGTGCGTGTCATCTACTATCACCCTATAGTGAAGCTACGTATATCTACATTATATATATGATGCCTTCTTTTGATAATTACTTATATAATATATAATATGTGTATATATATTATATAATATATATTATATAATATATAATATTATATAATATAATATATTATATAATATATAAAAGCAATTAACATCCGTTTCAGTACTGAGCTCGATGATCAGGACTCCAGCGACGAAGATGACGACAGTGATGACAATAATGCCAATGATAATGAAGATAACAGTGCCAAATAAAGCCAACAGGTGAAAAACTTGCTGACACGGCGACCAGCTGGCCACAGAGGTCCGCACAAGCCAGGAAACACCGCGACACTATCTGTATATACATTGACACCGCGACGATCATTAGGTGGGAGTAAGGCACCCTGTACCCTGCTGTTTCCACCAGCACAAGGTATTCCTTTATTAAGCCATGCTGACACAACATTAAGACTCCTTATTGGCTACAATGTTAATCAACAGCAACAATGAACAATGGTCTTCAGTAATCCTGGGGTCATAACCTACAGGATGAAATTGAACGTATTGATCATAACAAACGTTAACGAGTTGTTGAAACAATCTGGTGAAGTGCTTGCCCCAGGCACATTTTATAAACTATTTTTTTATACTGCAGAATATACTCTTGACCACTATAGCTGCTGAACTTATACCTTTGACCATTGTAGCTACTAAATTTATATCTCTTGACCCAATCTTTGAAAAATGACGATTTCTGCGTGAAAATTACTGTGCATTCATTTTCACATTCAAAAACAGGTATTTAAACTACATAAATAGTTTGTTCCTAAAGAACAAAATAATTTAAATAAAAATAGCTTTTTCAAATAAAATTGTTAATGAACGAATTGTTTTCAATGATTATACATCTATTAATGAAATATATTTACGTATATTAAGCAAATAAATACATGTATTAAATATTTGTTCTTCAAAAACCCTAATAATTTTTCCTTTTATATATTTATTACTTTGTGCATTATTGATGAAGTAAGTAATTATCAAAAAGAAGGCACCAAACCGGGAAGGTTATGTAGCACCATCAAATGTGCGGGATAATCAGAGGGCGCTAAATATCACCAAGGATGACAATCGACTTGATAATGATCCAGGGGAGTTCCACCTGCGCTGCCGTTGAGTGAGGACGTGTCGCTTGTCCGCTCCGGCAGTTTGTGGTCGTTGCCGTTTTCGCCGGCAGGGGGTGTGGGGGTGTTTACCCTCCCTGCTGTTCCTGATGGTGGAGACGTGGCGTGTTTTGCGATGGGCGGCCCTATTCCCACTGTCGTGCGGTTAAACTCCATCGGATTGGAGTTTACTGGCCGTGCTGGTTACCCGCTGGTGAACGTGGTGTTGAGTGACATGCTTCGTGTCCCGGTTGGGGACGTATATGGCATTGAGCTGGTAACTGCTCACCGTGTTGTTATCAAGTTTGTGGGTGAGGCGGTGTACCGTGCTTTCTTACGGAGGTACGAGGGTCGTACTTTGCAGTTACAGGACGGCACCGGGTCTGTGACCATTTCAGACCGTAGTGGTGCTGTGACGATTGTCAGTGTTCATGGCGCCCCCATGGAGTTTCCTGAGACTCTCTTCCGGCGATTCTTCCAGAGGTACGGCTCCGTCGTCAGTGTGCGGATGAACTCCCTGTCGTCTGGCACGTATTCGGGTGTGAAGACCAACATTCGGACCCTCGGGATGCGACTGAGGTCAGACATACCGTGCTCTGTCCGGCTGTTGGGGTACTACGTGCGTGTGTTTTATGCCCGGCAACCCCGTACTTGCTTCCGGTGTGGCTTGTTGGGGCATCAGGCTGCCGGGTGTACTGCTGATCCGGTCGCTCCTGTGAACTTGTTTCGTGAGGAGGATTTCCCGCCGCTCCCTCTGGAGGAGGACTCCGGGGGTGAGGAGGTGAGCGTCCCGTTCGCTGCTGCGGCTTCCCCGGCGGCGCCTGCCGTTCCTCCGGTTGTTGCCGTCCCTCCTCCGGTTCTTGAGGTACCGTCGGTTGGTCTGCCTGATCCTGTCGCTGTCCCAGCTGCTCCCGTGGGCCTTCCTGGAGCTCCCTGTGTGACGTCGCTGTCTTCTCCCTCGTCTTCTGATGCTGCGCCTGGCCCTGTGTCCGTGACTCGGGTCCCGGATGTGCTTGGTGCTGGGGTGGCTGCGGAGCCTCCTGCTGTGTGTGGCCCGGTTTCCCCTGTGGTAGAGGCTGCTGCCGTCCTGACGTCGGTTCCTTCGGCTCGTGGTACCCGTGTTTCTGGGTCACTTACCGGCTCTGACGATATCCGGCCGGTGCCCAAACGTTCCCGGCGTTCGTCTTCTTCCTGGGCCGACGCTGGTGATTTCAGTGACTGTGGGGCTTCGGATGTTGACAGTGTGGATACGGATGCGTCGATGTCTCCGCGGTTCGTGGTGGCGGAGGTTCATGTGCCTGCTGGTGCTGGTGCCTGTGTCTCGGACGTGCCTTCGGTTCTTTCTCCGCCGGGGAACTCTCCACAGTGGGGGGTGGTGGCTTCCGCTGCCAGGGATGGTGTGGACTCTGGTGCTGGGCGTGGCCTGGTGGTGACGTTACGGAAGGATGCGCGCCGTCCGGGTTCCCTGCTGTCGTCTGGTGGTGTGCCCGGGGCCGCGGGTACCCCTGTGGTGCGGGTGCGCGTTGGGGCCCTGGGGGACGTGTTGCCGGCGTCTGTGATGCCGCCGGGTCACTGGTCGAAGATTGCCGAGTTACTGCTGTCTGACGGACCGGAGTGTTTTCGTGGGGGGCAAGTTCCCTTCCTGTGGGGGCGAGGGGCGACTTCTCGCCTCATGAGTTCTACCATCTGGATCCCCAGTTTGCGGGCGTTTGTTGCCCCGGTTCCGGAAGTTATGGCGTCCCCGGTGGATGGACGAGACCCTTGGCAATGGGTGCTCTGGGAGGCGTTCAATGTAAGATTCCCGCGGGCCAAGTTCCCGGGCAAGCATGTCCTCTGATTTCTTGTGTATTTGCTCTGACATGCTGTGTGCCCTTCTGGCTGTTTGTTTGCCCTGTTCTATTATGTGCTTCTGCCTTTCCCTTTGTGCGTAGCTTTGCCGTGTGGCATATATACATATATATACATATATATACATATACATTATATATACATACATATACATGTGTGTATATATATATATATATATATATATATATATATATATATATATATATATATATATATATATATATATATATATATATATATATATGTCGTACCTAGTAGCCAGAACTCTCTTCTCAGCCTACTATTCAAGGCCCGATTTGCCTAATAAGCCAAGTTTTCCTGAATTAATATATTTACTATAGTTTTTTTCTTATGAAATGATAAAGCAACCCTTTTCTCTATGTATGAGGTCAATTTTTTTTTATTGGAGTTAAAATTAACGTAGATATATGACCGAACCTAACCAACCCTACCTAACCTAACCTATATTTATAGGTAAGGTTAGGTTAGGTAGCCAAAAAAAGCTAGGTTAGGTTAGGTTAGGTAGGTTAGGTAGACGAAAAAACATTAATTCATGAAAACTTGGCTTATTAGGCAAATCGGGCCTTGAATAGTAGGCTGAGAAGTGCGTTCTGGCTATTAGGTACGACATATATATATATATATATATATATATATATATATATATATATATATATATATATAATTAAATATGACCGAAAAAGTAAGATTAATAATTCTAACACGAATTTTCTCAATCTTTCGTACATTTCTTTTCACTGTTGGTGGTAATTCAAAAATCAATTCTCCAAAATTCATTTTTATTTCTAGTCTGACGCGACACTTGAGCGCGTTTCGTAAAACTTATTACATTTTCAAAGACTTTAGTTAACACATACACAACTGAATAGAACTTACACATCTCCGATTTTGTTTATATCTACATTTGAGTGAGGTGGATGGGGTGAGGTGGTATTTAATAAGGTATTAATTTCATCAACACAAGCCAGAACATGAAACAATGGGTATTGAATAGAAGTGATTGTAGAAAGCCTATTGGTCCATATTTCTTGATGCTTCTATATTGGAGCGGAGTCTTGAGGTGGGTAGAATATAGTTGTGCATTAATTGGCTGTTGATTGCTGGTGTTGACTTCTTGATGTGTAATGCCTCGCAAACGTCAAGCCGCCTGCTATCGCTGTATCTATCGATGATTTCTGTGTTGTTTACTAGGATTTCTCTGGCGATGGTTTGGTTGTGGGAAGAGATTATATGTTTTACCAGAAAATATTCGAAGGAAACTACTCCAAGCTTGTACTAAAGAGGCACCCTTCTTGAGCCCGGATGGGCACATGTATAAGCACCATCATAGCACCATAAGACATCACCTCAGCACTGAAACAAGGATTATCAAGAAACTAACGTTATATGGAGGACCTATGGCAATTCCACGACCAAGAGATGGCTTCTTGAACCTTGCAGGAATCAACCTCACTGAGGACCAAGTCACTCTCCTAAATCTGGGCATAAACTGTCACGTTATGTCCAGACCAAGTGAGATGGCCCGGAAAGTGGAGTTGGAAATGCTGCTGGACGACATATTCGACCTCGAGACACAAAAGAAGGTCACTACCAAAGATACCTTACAAGCAGAACTTATTGCGGAAGGAGGAAAGAATCGAGGCAATTACAGAAGCACCATACTGTCCCCCGAGCTCAAAGCGGCAGCCAAAAGCCTTCGTGAGAATAAGGAGATAGTTGTCAGACGAGGTGACAAGTCGCCAATATACGTCACTTAAAAAAGACGAATATCTGGCGAAAATGAACCTCATACTCTCTGACCAAACTAAATTCCAAAGGGTAACGAAGGACACTACAGCCGAATTGAAAGCAAAGGTCAACAGACTAATCGAAACTGTGAACGCCAAGAAATCAGGACTCCACCTGGCAAAGATTATTGGGGAATATAAACCTGGATATGCGTATGGAAATGTCAAGACACACAAGCCTGGAAACCCACTTCGGCCAATCATTAGCCAGATACCCACACCCACGTACATACTAGCGAAGCGACTCAACGGCCTGCTGACTCCTTATGTTCCTTGCGCCTTCAGCCTAAAGTCTCCAAAGGAATTTGTTGACTTACTGCGGGGCACACGGGCCACAGGAATAAGAGCCTCGTTGGACGTAGAATCGCTGTTCACTAACGTACCAGTGGACGAGACAATCGGGATGATAGCCGACAGAGTGTATCGTGATCCAGCCTGTACTCCTCTTGACATACCAGAAAATATCCTAAGGAAACTACTCCAAGCTTGTACAAAAGAGGCACCCTTCTTAAGCCCGGATGGGCACATGTATAAGCAAGTAGATGGGGTCGCCATGGGTTCTCCCCTAGGTGTCCTGTTTGCAAACTTCTACATGGGTACCATCGAGCAAAAAGTCTTAGTCGACATGAACATGAAACCGGCCATATACTGCAGGTATGTTGACGACATTTTTACACAGGTACCTGATGTCAGACATCTGCAGGAGTTGAAGGAGGCATTTGAGCGGAGTTCCGTGCTGCGTTTCACTTACGAGATGGAAAAGGATGGGAAGCTGCCCTTTCTAGATGTAACAGTCATGGAAAAGAGCGGAGGTTTCCACACTGCAATCTACACTAAGGAAACGAACATAGGAATGTGCCTAAATGCCAACAGCGACTGCCCTGACAGGTACAAGAGGAGTGTTGTTAACGCATATGTCGACCATGCTCTCAGCCACAGCTCAGAATGGAAGCAAGTCGACGAAGAACTCTGTAGGGTAAGGCAGGTCCTAGTCAACAACGGCTTCTCCAATGGTTTCGTCGAAGACATCATAAGAAGGAAAGTGAAACGCCATGCAACCTCTGAAGAGACAACCAACACAACACCTATACCCCCTATTAGACTATTTTACAGGA